GGCGGCTCACACCTTCAGTCTCAGTACTGGGGAGGCAGAGGCAGGCCTCTGAGTTCAAGGCCAGCTAGTCTTTTGCAACCCATTTGCCCCATCGTCAAGCACGCTGGGATCATAGGTCTGTGCCCACTGAGGCTTTGTGGCTGACCTCTCTCACCAAGGATAATGTTTTCAAGGGCAGCGTTGTAGCTGAAGAGGATTCCTGCACAGCAGGGGTTCCCTTACAGACCCTGGATCAGATACAAACAACACCAAAACAACCTGTTTTCACCGAGCTCCTTTACTAGGTGGGGAAGAAATGTTAAAGTGGCTGCGGTGGTGGCGCACACCTTTAATCCCAGCACTCGAGAGGCAGAGGCAGGCAGATCTCTGTGAGTTCGAGGCCAGGCTGGGCCGACAGCCTCCAAAACAATACAGAGAAACCCTGTCTCGTAAACAAAACAAAACAAAACCCAGAAGAACAGCAGCATATGACCTTGCAGGTGTCATCCGTAAGAGGAGAAAAGGGGGAGGACTGGGTTAGAGTGGGCTAGGACGTGGTGGTAAATGAGGTAGGGGATGAGGGAAAAGGAGAAGGGGAAGGGATGTTGGTCCTGGAGGGACAAAGGACTGCCTCTGGATAGAGAGGGGACAGACTAGGCATATAAGCAAACGACGGTTTATAAAGGTAAACAGGTGTTAGGCTGAAGTATTTAATTTTAATTAGGCATGTTAATTAGGTGAGTGGGGGGGCTTCTGATTGCTGGACTTTGGAGTCTTAAGCGTGCTAGGAAAGCACTCTACCACCAAGGCACACTCCCAGCCTGATACAAAGCTTTTAAAAAGCCCATAGTAGTGACAATCTATCTGATTATGTCTTGTGGTTCAGGTGAAATCATTGTTGCCTTATTTCGATTTCCTTGCCTGTCTCAGAACCTGGAGCTCTTTTACGGGTGGGGGAGGCAGAAAAATCAAAAACTTTTCCATGTGAAGGCAGCTTCACCCAAACATGCCTCGTACCTTTCTGCAGCACAGATTTTTGTCACCTCCAGCTTCAGCACTCCCGGGAGTTTTGCATGGAGTAGTGTCCTGTTTATATGAGGAACTACCTATGTAAAGCAATGACTAAAGCTGGCAAATCAGCCAGGCTACCAGAACAAGTCATGTGTGGCCCCCTTCCCTCCCCCCTCCTCCACATCCTGCATGGCTTTGGGCATGACCGGGTTGGGCTGACAAAGGAATGAAGGAAGATTGGACACGAGACACACACAGAAAAGCTGGGATTGAGTGGTGCTCACTCCGATGGGGTAGAACCGACCACTCATCAACCTGGAACCTTTGCATTCTTATTATGAACTGGGGGAGGGCGTTAGCCAGCCTTGGTAGAAGGCAGGCGAGCAGTCCCAGGTTGTAGTTACCTGGGAGGAGGAAGTTTCGGTTGCTAGTTTTGACATACACTGCCAATATTTGCACTCTGACCAGAGGAAGGCTTTCTCATCCCTCTCAGCCTCACCCTGGGTGAGGGGTGAAGCTTCAGCACCCTCATGGGTCTGAGGCATTGGGGCTTTCATGGCTGGACCCATATTAAGCAATACGCTCAGGACTTCATACTCTACACATTCACTCATGGCTTCTTTCTTTGAGGCAAGGTGTCACGTGGCCCAGGTTGGCCCTTTGCTATGTAGCCAAGGATGTCCTCCTGCCTCTACCTCTGGAGCAGGATTACAGATGTGGACACTGGGGTTCATTTACTCGGTAAAAAAGTTTCTACACCCCAATAAGCCTCTCTGCTGATAGCAATCCAAATCAAACCAAGTCAAACCGAATTCGAAAAAGCCCACATTTAATGGATACAACACTTCCGGAAGGCCTTCTAGTGCCCCAGAGAGGAGACAGAAAAGGGAGACCTGAAAAACCAGAGTCTGTTCTCTGGAGGACAGTTCAAATACCCTGTGGAAGTGGTCTTGAGTATCTCTGGGGGAGGGGCCATCTTTTGGCCGGCTTTCTGAGATGCAGCAGGGTTTGGAGGGAGACAGGGGAGGGGGGCTTGGGTGGACCCTCCACCATAACACCCCAGACTCTTTGGGTTTATGGATGCCAGGGGCTGGGGTGAAGCTTCCACCATCACACTCAGTGCTGGGAATTGAGCCCAGGGCTAGAGCTGCATGCTCAGTGCCATTATAACCTCTTACTTTGGCAATACAAATTCTTACTATGCTACTTTGCCCCTCCCCCACCTCCCCCCAAAAAAGGAAAGAAAAAGACTCCAGCAAAAGGGCAGGGTGCTAAGGATACATATACCTCAGAGGTGTTTGCTTAACATGTCCTGGGTTTGATCGTTACCAAAATAATATAAAATAATAAATATGTAAATAGATGAAGTACTAGTATTTGGGCTGTTGAGATGGGTAAAGGGGTCTGCCACCAAATTTGATGATTTGAGTTTAATCCTGGAAACTCCTTATTGGAAGGAGGGAACCAACTCCTGAAAGTTGTCCTCAGATCTCAGCATGAGGGTGTCCCCTTCTCACAAACAGACAAACAAACAAATAGATAAATAAGGAAAGAAAGAATAATTTAAAAAGAGAGATTTGTGTATAGTAATCTTGTGTCCTGCAGTCTTGTTCACCACATCCCTGAGCTTTCATAGTTACTTTTTGCGTGTGGATATTTTAGAATTTTCTAAGTACAAGGGCATGTGATCTGTGAATAGCTGTAGAGGCAATTTTGCTTTCTTCTTTTCTACCTGGATATATTTTCTGGTTCTGATTGTCCAGGTTCCCATCCCTTTTATCTCTTTAGAGGAAGTGGCTGAGTAGAAACCCTTGTTTGTTCCTGGCCTTACCCACTTAGTGATGCTATCAGCCATGTTTGTTTACAGGCGTCTGGGACCTTGGAGGAAGTTTCCTTTCCTCCCAGTGTGCTGAGCGCTTTGTCCTGGAGTGTCAGTGAATAGGACTGATGCTTTTCCTTTGCCTGGAGAGTTTTGTACCTTTGGAGCATGACTTTAGTTTTCAGGTTCTCCAAGATCCATGACTTGACTTGCACTGCGTAGTTGGCTGTGTTTTCAGTACCAGGCATGGTTTCCCTCTTGCTGAGTAGTCTTAAGTCCAATTAGAGAACTGCCGGTTACCACCAAGGTATGAGTGCCACTAATGTGGCCATAGGGTTACCATGCTGTGTTGGTCATTGTTGTGGTTCGTAGCATCATAGCTGAGTAGGACTATTGGCTGCTTCTCTTCTTTTCAAGCTTTCATGGTACCTTCTGATAGTCCTCAGGGAGGAGGGATTCGGGTTCCAGGTCATGAGCCTCTGAAGCGCATGGTGCCTTCATCAATAGAGACTTACCTTTCACCTCTGGGGCTCACCCCTCCCCTTCTTTTTAAGACAAGGTCTCATGTAGCCTAGGCTAACCTCAAACTTGTTATGTAGCCAAGGATGGTCTTAAACTCCCGATCAACCTGTCCCACCTCCCGGTACTGGGGTTACGGGTGTGCACTCACACACCAGGCTTCTTTGAGAACAGTTTGAGGAAGGGTGTCCTAATAGTAATAGTCCCACCTAGATCTGTGTGCAGCTAGCACAGGAGCCGTGTGTTTTCCACTTTACTACTTTGACTGGAATACTATTACTAAAATACAGATCAAGCTTGCACTGGATAAAAATTTACAGCCAGTCAGTAGTGACAAACCCCCTTTCCTTCAGGCTCAGATTTCTTTCCCCTTGTCAGTCCCACAATACTCATTTCCTTGAAATCGAGGTATCTTCTAGTGACAAGGCTGGTCCTTCTACTTTTCACCAAGATCCTAAAATTTTACATAGTCATCATTATTATTTTGTACTTATTACTATTTTGAGGCAGGGTTTCCCATAGCCCAAGTTGGATTTCCAACTCTTTGTCTAGCTGAGGATGACCTTGAACTCAGTCTGATTTCCTCCACTTCCCAAGTGTAGGGATTACAGGCCAGAAACTTTCTTAAATGTTATTGTATTACTGTCATCATCAGTGCGTGCAGGTGTGTGGGCGTGGGCGTGACGGTTAGAGGACAGCTTTATTGGAGTTGGGCTCTCTGCTTCTGTCTGCTTTCCCAAGGGTTTCTGCTTTATCCACTGAGGCATCTTCTCAGCCAGATATTTATCATTTTTATTTATTTTTGAGACAGGGACTCACTCTGTTGCTCAGGGTAGCTGAGGGCTTACTGTGTAGTTCAAGCTGGCTGACCTTGGACTTTCCAGTTTTCCTGTCTTTAGCTTCCAGAGTGCTGGTATTATAGGCTTGAGCCACCATCCCCGGCCAAAATCCTAAAATGTTTCCTATTTGGAACTTTTATACAAGTTTGCCAATTCCTTTTTTTTTTTTCTCTTTTGGTCTTTTCATGGTTTCTAAAGATGTTATGATATCATAGTATAGTATCATTTTTCACATATATGTTTCTAATGGAATGGGTATCTCTGAGCATAAGTTGCTATTTTGTCATTTTGAAAGATATTACCAAATAAAGAAGCTGAGCAGCCTTCTACTGTCCAAGGGCGCATGTCTCAGCCTGTGGCCCCACAGCCTCCACTGTTAACAACTTGACACTTGCCAATCTGATAAAGGAAACAGTGCTCATTATAGTCTGGATTTGCTATTCTCTGATTACAAGTAAGCATTAGCATTTTAAGTCTAAACAGCTGTTATTTAATTACTTGATTAGATAACAAATACATTTTGGAAACAGACTCCCAGACTAACCTGAAATTCACTATGGGGCCCTCACTGGGAAGCACTACTCCATCATTGAGCTATCTTTTAAATTCCTCCTGAGCAGTTCTTACCCAGTCCACTAAAGAAGCATGACCTGGCTTCTGGCTGAGAGCTGGCGGCCGGATGCAGGGCGTGGCTCGTGGGGAGGCTGAGGCGCTGGACCCCCACTTCAGCCCTCCCTCTTCCCTCTGTGGTCTCTCGGAGCTCCGCCCAGAGCCCGCCTGGAGCTGGCCTTGGGCGGAGCACGTGGGGGAGTGGGCGGAGCCGAGAGCCTGATTTATTCTCGTGCGAGAGGCGCGGACGCAGGAACCCGCGGGTCTCAGCGTCTGTGCTCGTGTCCTTCCTCGCGTGCCGCAGCATGCAGCTCTCCCGTGCGCTGGCTGCGCTGTGCGGCGTGTTGCTTTGCGCCTCCGGTCTCTTTGCCGCGTCCGGTGAGTTTCCCGAGCCTCCCTTTGGGCCTCGCCCCTCTTGCCCGCCGTTCGGAAGTTCTCAGCGGCGCCCTCCCTCCACCTCTACTGTTGACAAACTTGAGCAAAGCCTGCGGGACCCGCGCTGGGGCTGCGCCTGGGTAGGAGAGGCGGACGTGCTCAGTCTCTGCGCACTTTGCGCTGGGGTCTTGGGGCAATGATAGTGGCTTGTGCACTGGGCGGTGACCCTGGACACCCGGTGACAGCCCTGCCTGCCCCAGGGATGTGACTTACGCATAACAAAGGAATCCGCTGCGTCGTGCCTCTTTTTACCGCGTCTGTAAAATGAGGCCACCGAACTGCATTTGCTCTCCAGACCTTCCATTTGGGAAAGTCTAGGACTCCTGTACGGAAACTTCTCCAACCAACGTTCCCCGCAACTCTCCCTAACTCTCCTGGCTGGAGAATCCAATGAACTTTTGCGCCTCACTTGTCGGTGTTTGACTAGATAAGGGGGGGAAGGACCGAGGAGCCCGTTCGAGAGACTGGGTTGTAGGTAGGACTGGTCAGGAACTTAGAAAAGTGCTTCCTCCCACTCGGCTGGCCTTGGCTGTCTGCTTAATCTTCCCTAGCCCTCCTCCCCCGCTCTGAGGTCCCCGGTAGACATATGGGCCTCTTGCAGGATGCTGCTGGGCAGTTCATCTAAAGAAAGTTGTGCCCACGTGGGGGCGGGGTGAGCTCAGGGACTCTTCGAGCAGCCCCCTCCATCGTTTTCTCATGGAAACAGTCGGCTGAGACAGGAGAGACCACGGCTGGACCCAGCTCTGTCGTCCAGCACAGGATCTGACCTCGGGGATGGAGCTGAAGGCTGAGTGCCTCAAGCTTCCACCAACCGGGAACTTGTGGTCCTTCCTCTCAGCTGGAGGATGCTTGGATCTCCTCTGACCCTTTCCACACATCCTCGCCACAACCTGCCCCCTGACCAAATATCCCAGAGGGCACTTCCCAGAGCAGTACCCTGATATCCCGTAGGATTTGTGGAGGCGCTAGGGTCTCCTGGTCTCCCGTGCAGGTGACCAGCCTCAACCAGGACAGTTCCCACACTGGCGGTGGCTGGCCACCATGCACTTTGCTTTCTTCTCTGAACCCCTGGTTTGATTCCAGGTGAGCTGTGAGGAAGGCTGGAAGAAGGGCCTTTGTTGGGACAGGGTGCCTAGGCCTTGGCCATTCTGGAGCTTCCACGTGAGGCTGTGATTGCCCTTCCAGGTCAGAGGGGATTAACCTGCTATTTAAAGCCGGTGACTAATAGTTCTGCTGCAGCGCCTTTGGATCCCCAGGCCCTTGCTGAGGTGGAGCTGTGTGGGCTGGTGCTCGTTAATGGTGTTGCCTGCCGCCAGCTGGGGAGCCTGAGCTCCCTTGGGCCTTGGCTGGGCGACTGTGGGGAGGAGAAGAGATCTCTTAGGTTTGATTGTTGTGCCAGGTTTGGGGTCCGGTCTAGTAGGATGCTAAGGTCCTGCCAAGGACCCCTGTACAGCAGACCTGGGGGCTGTTCATTGGTTGGTGCCAGTGTCAGGGAACTCAGGACAGATGGAAGGAAGCAAGGTGAGCATCTGAGGCAGGGTGCCCGCAGTTCCGTCCTGGATATGGAGATGGGAGGGTTTGCCAGCTGCTTGGAGAGTTGCATATAGTCTTTCAGATCACAGGCCGGGTGAGCTCAGCCCCACCCCACCCCTCCTGTGTTCTCCATCCTGGTGGACAGTGTACATCTGTCACCTACAGCTCTCCAAAAACTCTGGTGTCCCTTCCAGCCTTCCCCCAACTCCTCAGTCCAGTGCTCCTGTTCCCTTTGCCCTAATGTGCTTTCCCGCCATTCAACCTGTGGGCGTCATCTGCTGGAGCCAGACCTCCTACTCTTCAGGGGCCTAGCAGCCTACTCGTGGGGTTTTCAGCCTTCCTCCTTTCAATCTTGGATCTGTGTTGGGGGGTAGAGACAGACAGACAGACAGACAGACAGACAGACAGACAGAGACACTGACTCAAGCCAATTCTGGGGAGTCTTAAGGAAGTTTAAAAAGCTATCTACTTACTGATGGCAGCATACGGTCTAAACAAGCCTGTCACTCTTAACCTGTGAGCCTGGCCTAGGTTCAGTCACATCCGAACTGACATGCCATGTTCTCAGTGAATCTGCTTCTCTCTAGAATGTTAGTTTTTTTTTTTGTTTGTTTGTTTTTTTTGGTTTTTCGAGACAGGGTTTCTCTGTGGCTTTGGAAGCTGTCCTGGAACTAGCTCTTGTAGACCAGGCTGGCCTCGAACTCAGAGAGATCCGCCTGCCTCTGCCTCCCGAGTGCTGGGATTAAAGGCGTGCGCCACCAACGCTCGGCTAGAATGTTAGTTTTGTTAGTTTCCCATTTGACAGCTCGTCATCCTTTTCATTCTGTCTTTAAAAAAACGTTTGCGTTATTGTCTGTGTCTGTGTGTGAGCCCGAGTGTGTTACATGTGCACCACCTGCCCGCAGGGGCCCACAGCGTTTGGAAGAGGACACCAGTCCCCCGAAACAGAAGTTATAATGATTGTGAGCCACCACGTGGGTGTTGGGAACCGAACCAGGGTTTTCTGCCAGAGCAGTAAGTGCTCCTAGTCTCTCATCCATCCCTCCAGCTCCCCGCTTTAGTTTTTAAGATTTGTTTTACTTTTTTAAAATGATGTACAGCTGTCGCTGTGCACGTGAGAACAGGTGTCTGAGAAGGCTGCGGGCGTTGGAGCCCCCTGGAACTGGGGTTAGAGGCAGTTGTGAGTTCCCCCTGGAACTGGGGTTAGAGGCAGTTGTGAGCTCCCTGTTTGTGGGTACTGGGATCCAAAGCCCAGTTCTCCATAAAATCAGCAAGTGCTCTTAGCCTGAGCTGTTTCTGTAGCCCGTGTTTTCCTTTTTCGGTAGTGCTGGGGATTGAACCCGGGGCCTTGCACATGCTAGGCAAGAGCTCTGCCATTGCGTTTTCTCCCCAGCCCCTGGCTTCTTGAGGCTAGGCTAACAGCTAACTCCTGTCTCCAAGTGTTTACCGAGCGATCACGTCTGGACTGTTGTTGTTGCAGGTGACTTCTGTGACTCCAGCCTGTGCCTGAATGGTGGGACCTGCCTGATGGGCCAAGACAGTGACATCTGCCTCTGTCCCGAGGGCTTCACGGGCCTTGTGTGCAACGAGACTGAGAAAGGTACCTGCTTCCAGTGGCCTGCCTCCCCTGACTCTTCCCGACGGGTAGCTCTTGTTCCAGTAGAAACTCCCAGCTATTTGGAAAAGCCAGTGCTGCCAGTATTTGAGCAAATTCATCTTCTTGGCAACTCTCTTAGGTCCAGGATGACTGGGTAGGGAAGAAAAGGGACTGATTGGGATGGATCAGATGAGGCTGGTCACATGCTGCCCTTGGGACTGTCCCCAGCCCTTTTCTGACTACCCTCCCATCTCCTCTGCCTCCTCGCTTCCAGGACCCTGCTTCCCAAACCCTTGCTACAATGACGCTAAATGCCAAGTGACTGAGGACACACATCGAGGAGACATCTTCACTCAGTACATCTGCCAGTGCCCCCTGGGCTACTCGGGCACCCACTGTGAGATCAGTGAGTACCAGGGGTCTGCAGCTGGGCACAGGCACTTGTGGCGAGCCTTCCTCTATGGAGGCTGAGGAATGGGCAGAGTGGCCCTGAGGATCCTGTTGGCCTGTACCAGGCTTAAGGTCTGGCTTTCTCTCCTGGGACTTCAGGTCAGGGCTGGTGTCACTGCAGGGGAATTAGAGTGTGGTGACCCTAAGGCCAAGGGAATGCCACTTCCCAAGTCCCTGAGTCAGAGACACACAGTGTCAGAGTTAAATCTCGGGACTTTCTTGCCAGTGAAAGGAAACAGACGTGCTCTTTATCTTGGAGCCCAAGGCTCAGTGAATCGGGTTTGGGCCCCGTGGTGTTCTCGCAGGGGTCAGGGAGGAGGGGGAGGTCTAGGCAGGCTGGGTTGCCCAGTGCCATAGAAAGGCTAGAGGCCTGGCATAGGGAGGAGCTGACCCTGTCTGACCTGTTTGCCTGTCCCCTGGGCCCCAGAGTGGCCTGGGTGAGTGCCAGTTAACATTGCTGGCAGTAGTTCTCCATGCTGCCCCCAACTCTGCTCCAAGCATACCAGGGCCTTTCCTAGCCTCTCTGTCACATGGGAAGGGCTGTGTCCAGGCAAGGGGAGGGAGGAAGGGGTGGAGAGTGCGTGCGTGCGTGCGTGTGTGTGTGGTGGGGGTTGTTTACAGCTATCCAGGTCAGCCAGTGGACATCCTGTGGGGGAGGGGGCAGGTGGCTTCTTCCCCCTCCTTCAGGCAGGTGTCTTGTTGGACTCTGAGGTCTACTGACCTGTATAAGGCCATCTGTATGGGGGCCCCATTATGGGGGAATGTGGGCAGAGTGCCTGGGGTGCCCCTGACTTAGGAGGAGACAGCAAAGGCCTGGTCTTGACTGAAGTAAAGCCAGATGAGTTTGAGATCCTTAGCGGGGAGAATGGGGAAGCTCTGGGTTGCTAAGGCAGATGGAGGCCTGGGTGGAGCCAGGTAAGCCTACTAATTACTGGGTGGGAGCTGAGCTAACCATGGTGTACCTGTGTGGGAATTAGCTGTGGAGCTTTCTCTGGCTCCCAGGTCTAGAGTTGGCTCTAGGCCTGATGGTGGCAGCTAGAGCAGAGAGGGATAGGTGGTGTGCACATAGGCTGCAGGGATGAGGGGCACAGGGGACCTCATACTCCCTTGGTTTTTTGTTTGTTTGTTTTTCTAGACAGGGTTTTGCGGTGGCTTTGGAGGCTGTTTGGAACTAGCTCTTGTAGACCAGGCTGGCCTGGAACTCATAGAGATCCGCCTGCCTCTGCCTCCCTGGTGCTGGGATTAAAGGAGTGAGCCACTAATGCCCCCTTCCCTTGTTTATTACATTGTTTTGGTGCTGCACCTTTGGGTCCCTTGGGTGTGGATATGGGAGACCCATCAGCAGGCTAACCTGGCCCAGATCTAGGGTGTCCAGCCCCATTTGTTACCTAACCTTCTCTGTAAGATAGGTAGAACCTTGCTGGAGTTCTGTAGGTTGTCCCTGGGTTCCCCTGGCAGCAGAAGCCTGGGCATCCACTGTGGGTATCCAGAGGGATGGAAAGGCCCTCTTGCCAGCAGGCTTGATCACTGCCCCTAGTTTCTGGTGTCATGCCGACGGTGATGCAGAGGAGATGTGACTGTGGCTGCGGACACGCTCACTAGTGGGTGGTTGGGGGTGCAAAGGATGTAGAAGAAGGCAGAGTGGTGTTCATCCTCTCCCCAGAAAGTGCTGGGGAGATTGTAGGGAGTACCACGTAGAGTCAGGAGATTGTAGGGAGTACCACGTAGAGTCAGGAGATTGTAGGGAGTACCACGTAGAGTCAGGAGATTGTAGGGAGTACCACGTAGAGTCAGGAGATTGTAGGGAGTACCACGTAGAGTCAGGTGTGATGCCCAAAGCCTGTGATTGGTGCAAGTCTAAGGCTAGCGTGGGCAGCTGAGAGAGGCCCTGTCTCCATAAGGACTAGGGATGCAGCTCAGTGGTAGGGCCCTTGCCCAGCATACTCAGGTTTAATCTCTAGTGCCATACACACTGAGAAGATGAAGAGAAGACATCTTCAAAAGGTGTGGGGTACCTTTGCTGTTTGCTGTTGTCCAAGGCACCTTCTCTCCCGAAGCCACACCTCCTGGGCAAGCCATAGCCGAGGTGCTGAAGAAGAAGTTACTACCAGTGAGTCAGACCATCTACTACGACCTGGAAGGAGACTACCTGTCCACCACAGCTGTCCCCACCCCGGTCCCCAACCCTGGTCTTTCCAACAGTCTAGCCTCCAGTGAGTCACCTCTGCTGACCCCTTCTGTCCTGTGCCATTACTCTCCCACTCGGTGTCGGTGTCCCTCGGTGTTACCTGTCCTGAGTGAGGGTCTGAGGTTCTCTCTGTCTCCAGGTCCTCATCAGAGGTCATGCTTTGTTCTCCCTCTTGTCCTGTGGTCGAAGCTGGGCTCTGGAATGTTGGTTTAGGTACCTGATGGTCGCTCTGTCCCTACAGGCTGTACCACAAAGCTGGGCATGGAAGGGGGCGCCATTGCTAACTCACAGATCTCCGCCTCGTCTGTGTACGTGAGTTTCCTGGGCGTTCAGCGCTGGGGCCCGGAACTGGCTCGTCTGCACCGCTCAGGGCTGGTCAATGCATGGACAGCCAGCGATTACGACAGCAAGCCCTGGATCCAGGTAAGAAGACCCCGGGCAGAGTGATTGGGAAGATGAGAGGTGAATGGGGCTTCACTGGGGCCTCAGAACCTGATCCATGCAGGATGATAGGTGACCACGGGTGACGTGTCTGTATGTGGAGGGCTAGCCTCGGGCCTGGAGCGGGTGGGCAGAGGATGAGGAGAGATGGTCTTCTTTGATGACGGGGCTTGGGTACTACCCACAGGCCTGGGGGCGGGTCTCAGGAGCTAGCCAGTTGGATTTTAAGGGGAAGAACTGGAAGATGAGGGGACTTTTGCCTTTCTTATCCGGGGTCCAGGTGAACCTCCTGCGGAAGATGCTGGTGTCCGGGGTGATTACGCAGGGTGCCAGCCGCGCAGGGAAGGCAGAATACCTAAAGACCTTCAAGGTGGCTTATAGCCTCGACGGACGCAAGTTCGAGTTTATCCAGAATGCGAGCGGATCTGGAGAGAAGGTGGGCCTAGAGAGGGGCTACTGGAGTCAACACCCCTAAGAGTCTAGCACTGAGAAGCAATCTGAGCGATAGGGCTGAGGCGAGTCAGTATCTAGAAATGGTCAGGCCCAGATTGTGTTCATGTTCTCTGGTTACAGAGGTTATCATGTGATAGTAGTGCCATGAGCTGGTTAAGTGTTGTGGGGCTGGGCTTCATTGCAGACTTTTTTCAGGGCTACAGTATACAGTCGTGCTGGTAAAATTACCAAGTATACAGATTCTGTACAGGTCCGTGTTTCCGTCTGTCAGAAAATTATTACCATAAAGCCCTTTGAGAACGTACACGGAAGCGCTCTAGTTAGCCCTGTGTGAGCAGGGCTTAGGCCTGGGGCCTGTGATGACCAAGGGAGGTGTGACAAGGACATATCTTAGAGGCTGTGGAGTGGCAAAGCCAGGGTCGCAGGCTGGGTCTGTGTGGACTCTGTCCTTCCAGACTTACGCTGGCCTCTCGGGCCTGAAGAGGAATAGGCCCAGGAGCGGGCTGGCAAACCCGCTTCCTTCTCCAGTCCTACCCCTTCCCTTCTAGGAGTTTTTGGGGAACGTTGACAACAGCGGCCTGAAGGTTAACATGTTCAGTCCCCCTCTGGAGGTACAGTACATCAGGCTGTACCCTGTCACGTGCTACCGGGCCTGCACCCTTCGCTTCGAGCTCCTGGGCTGTGAGTTGAATGGTGAGTGCTGACTTTGTGAGCTGCTCAGGGGCCCACAGAGTCCTGCCGAGGTATCCCCGCTGTGGGCTGTCTGCCATCCCATTGCTCTGGGCATTGCGGATGGGCCTTTCCCTCCTCAGTGTTTCTGTTTACTTCGTTTCCTGGTGCTTCTAGAACAGGCAGCGACTTCCACGATTGCAGGGAATTGCTTTCTTTGTTGCTGTGTTTCCAGGGCCTCAAACACGTGGGTGCTTAGTAAATCTTTGATGAGGGGCGAACGAATGACTGAATGAGTGTATTATTCATCTGAGATACCCAGATGGGAGGTATAAGCATAGTACTTTCCCTTCAGGCATCTGCCACCTTCGTTGAGCAGTCATGCAGGCGCTTCAGACGCCAAAGTGGGTCCAAAAAGGGACAGGTTGCGGCTGATCCAGGGAGATCACCCTCTGAAGAGGTCGAGCTGACCCGAATTGCCATCTAGTTCAGGACCTCTTGTCTCTTGAGACCTGTTTCTCTGTGCAGCCACAGTGCCATCTGCTGGTCACCCGGGGTAACTATATATAGCGCTGGCTCTGCTGGGCTGCAGAGCTCATCATCTTTATAGACCTGCTGGCATGCCTCTTTTCCCTATTAGTGGCACTGTTTCCTGTTACCTCATTTTAGATACCACCCAGTACCACGCAGACTGAATTCTGCTTCTCAGTTTTTTTTTTTGTTTTTTTTTCCCTCTTTCCCAAGTGCTAGCAACTCAGGGTTTTGTGAATGCAGGCACACACACAGTCCACCACGGAACTATGCTCAAGCCGTGGCCTTTGTTCTGTTTTGCTTTTTGAGACAGGGTCTCGTTACATAGCCCCGGCTGTCCTGGAACTCACTCTGTAGACCAGGCTGGCCTCGAACTCACAGAGATCCGCCTGCCTCTGCCTCCCGAGTGCTGGGATTAAAGGCGTGCGCCGCCAACGCCCACCCCCCTCCCCCCAGTATGGATTTAAGCTAGTATGCTTCTATGACCATAGGAAGTCAGACTTGGCCACCTGTCCTCGAGAAGCCATTGAAACAGCCAAATCAATAGTAAAAAGTGGGAGGAGATTGATTCAGTGGCCGTGTGAGGGACGATGGACGGATATCCAGTGATCCCCTCAGGTTCGCTTTTTTTTTTTTGGGATCCGGAGTGAGTTTAAAGTTTAAACAGGGCCAGGGACATGCACGTCTAAGCACTCGCCACCGTTTGCTGACTCCTCGTTCTCTGGGCTTCGGTCTCATTCTGGTCTGACAAGCCAGTAGGCTGTGTAAAGCCTTTTTTAGGGAGGCACGCTCCCCCCACTCCCTTTTCTTCCCCCGGCATGGGATTCCTGGGGGAGCTTGCATTTCTGGGGGCCATTGTTTCAGAGGTCTGGTATCCAGGTGGGGAGACCTGTGTTTCTTCAGAATACCGTCTCTTCCAGGAAGGTTATCCCTCTCCGGGCCGGCGCCTTTTGCCTTATGTGATGTAGTGTCTGGCAAAGGATGGGGCCGTGGCCGGCCTGAGCCCTTTGGGTCTCGCAGTTGACAGGGTAGTGAAGCCGTGAGTCGTTTGGGGCTCACAGTGGGGCAAGCCCAGCCTCCCACCAGTCAGCAGACAGTGTCCTTGGCTTTCCTCCAGGCCTGGCCCACCTTCCTCTGTGACCCAGCCTGTCGGTGGGGGTGGGGCGCCTCACTTGATGCATGTGGGGTGTGTGCCTGTGCGCTGTACATGTGGGTGGGGTGAGGTCCAGGTGTCCTGGGGACCCACAAGGCTCCCCACAGCAGGGTGAGTATTTTTAGCAGACAGTATCTTTGGTGACGTGACTTTAATTTAGACATTTCCTAGGTTTCCCCTGAATGCCTAGATTTAAGGAACAACACAAGTGAGACTTGCATTCTCTCAAGGGAGTCTAGGTGAGATGAACAGATAAAAGGAAGGTCAGGAGCTGGGCAAGATGGCCCAGTGGTTACAGCACCTGCTGCTTTTCTGGAGGACCTGGGTTTGGTTCCTGGCACCTTCATCAGGTGGCTCACACCGTCCGTCCAGTTCTGGTGGATCCAGCGCTCTCTGCTGGCCTCCCTGGGTACTGCACACATGCTGTGTGTACACATACACTCACGCACACACACTGATAAATAGATAAATACGGTGCTTATACATACCCTCAGGTACACATAACCAACGAATAAGTAAATAAATAAAACAAGGGGAAAGGTCAGCTAGCAGCAAGAACTCTGGAGGAGGTGGTGGTGGTGGTGATGGGGGCAGTGTGGGGATTCTTCAGCTGGAGAGCCAGTCTCAGGGAGATCTTAGAATGTTCTAGATGGAGAATTACAAGGACAAAGGTGGGGCTTGTTGGAGGATAAAAGAAACGCAGGGGCTAGATGCTCTGTGTACAGGGACTTGGAGAATGGTGAGCTCCATGGGCCAGTGTTTCAGCAGCACCTTCTGTCTCTACCCTGGACAGTTTTTAATTTCACATTTCCAGTGCTGATGACTGAAGCCAGGGCAGACACTCCGCTACTGAGCTACACCCCGGAGTCGCTCTCTTTAATTTCTCTGAGACAGGGTCTTGCTACATAGCCCAGGTTGGCCTAATCTTGCAACTCTTCTTCCTCAGCTTGACAAGTGCTATGGTCACAGGAGTGCACACCGCACCTGACTTGCTCGTGCTTGTTAGATCACCTGTGCTCTCTGAGGAGAGCTGCAGAGGAAGAGGCTGGCTCGGGGAGAGGCAAGGGCTTCTGCAGTTCCCGTGTCCATAATCTGCAGTCTGCTTCCAGGAGGCCCTGGACACGGGTGGTTTGTACAGGGTACAAATGCGTGGTCTCTGCAAAGCAACGCTGGGCAGTGGCCACCTCAGAATGTCCCTGTCCTGGACCCAAAGGATGAATGAGCTCACAGCCCGGGAACCTCTGTGGAAGCAGGTTGATGACTCCCTGGCCTCTGCCTTCTGTAGGGAATAGCTCAGCAGTCACCTTCAGCCTGATGGGGTGGAAAGTGACAGGCAGGCATCTGAGGGACAGTGAGGGAACGGACTTCCCACATGGAAGTGCGGCTCTTCAGTGCCCATGCCTCACTCTTCAGCTCCTTAGGTTGTGGGGTGGGGAGGTGGCCAGGTGTGAGAGACACGTTATCCTCCCGGGAGTTCACTTCCTGCTCAACTTTTACCTGTTCAGCCATTCCCGAGAGTGACCCTGGGGGCCGAGCAGGGAAACAAAGGCCACTGTCTGAGTATACGCAGCAGCAACCGGAAATGCTGGGGTGTGCCGGGGCCTTCCACTGGATCTTAAGGAGTGCTTTTGGGAAGGACACAGAAGCAGCCCCAAACTCCTCCCCAGCTGTTCGAGGGTAGGAGTGTTTGCTACACGTGGCTGGATGGCCCCATACGGGGCTTCACGGGTCTAGCGTGAGGGATGTGTGTGAATGCGGGCACAGTGGGCAATGTCTCTCCGCCTCAAGTTGCCCGTGTATAGAATGAGGTTGTTGGTCGCTCCTTGGTCGGTGTGTTCTGTGTCGGAAGTAAATCCATGATGTCAGGAAGCGCACAGGCGTGTGAGGTGTCTTGACTCACCTGTGTTCAGAGAGAAAAGAGGGAGTGCTGTGAGTCCAGCCAGGTCAGGAGGTGTAGGTGAGGATCAAGGTCGTCCTCGACTGCAAAGCGAGTTTAAGCCAGCCCGGGCTGTACGAAATACTGTCTCAAAAACCAAAGCAAACCCAGACTAGACCAAATGAACGGTGCTAAGGAACCACAGCCCTTTCTCCTTTATTGTCTGTACCTACACATGCTGGTGACAGTCCCTTTCGCCCACAGGATGTTCTGAGCCCCTGGGCCTGAAGAATAACTCGATTCCCGACAACCAGATGACAGCTTCCAGCAGCTACAAGACTTGGAACCTGCGTGCCTTTGGCTGGTACCCCCACTATGCGCGGCTGGACATGCAGGGCAAGATCAACGCTTGGACTGCCCAGAGCAACACCAACAGGGAGTGGCTGCAGGTGGGAGTGGGCGGGGCTTGTGACCTGCTCAGCCCAGCCTCCTGCTCTGAAAGGGATTTCCCCAAAAGCCTAGATTTTCTTTGCTTTTTCTCTTTTTAACTCCCATGCTTCCCTGTTTCTCTTGATCCTGCTTCCACCAAGGCCCCAAGGGAAAAAGGGTGTGAATGCACACACACGCACGCACGCACGCACGCTCACACGCTCGCTCACTCACTCTTGGGGGTAGCTCCGTTCCTATCAGCTGCCACATGTTTGGCAGGGCTTACCAGTGGACAGTGGGGCAGGATGGCAGAGACCTCACCGCTTGAGCAAAGCACTCGGTGTAACTGGGAAATCTCAGAGAGGGTGGAAAACCAGAGGTAAGGGTTACAGATGAGGAAACTGAGTCCTGGCAGATTGTGTGGAGCTCACCTCCTGGCTGGGAGCGAACTGGGCTTGTAGCTTGGATCTGGGTACTGTGTGTCCAGGGGTTAGGATGGTCAGGGCCGGGGACAAACACTTGACTGCAGGTGGGGTGCTCAGTCGGACTTGGAGTTATTAGGAGCCACGTGCTCTTGGGCTCTGTCTCAGGACCGCATCAGACTGCAGCCCCCGGCAGGTTTCAGAAGCAGTTCCCGCGCCTTGCAGGCTGTGGCCTCTCAGCCTGTTCATCAGACCCCAGTACATGTCTGAGGCATGAGCTGCCAGAGTTGGCCAGGGCCTGGACCTCTGAAACACGCTTCACTGAGTTTTATTGGCGTTAAACTGGAGTGCTGGAGTTCCATGTGTCGAAGTGCACTTTTATACATTTATGCGCTTTTACATACTCGGACCATTGCATTTGTGTGTTAGAACCCAGGCTTGGGTATGATAGACCAGTGCTCTGCCGCTGAACTATATCCCCTTTTGATAATTTGAGGTAACAGGGTGTGGCTATTTAGCCCAGGCTGGCCTTCAGCTCCTTCCTCAGCTTTCCAAGTGCTAGGGTTACAGGTGGGCATCACCATACATGGCTTTATGTTCATTTTATAGGTGAATGTCTCACTTAGGGTTACTATTGCTGCAATGAAACATCACGACCAAAAAGCAAGTTGGGGTTTATTTGGCTGATACTTCCATAGTGGAAGGAAGTCAGGACAGGAACTCAAACAGGGCTGGAACCTGGAGGCAGGAGCTGATGCAGAGGCCATGGAGGGGTGCTGCTTACTGACTTGCTCTCCATGGCTTGCACAGCCTGCTTTCTTATAGAACTCAGGACCACTGGCCCAGGGATGGCATCACCCGCAATGGGCTGGGCCCTCCCCACATCAGTCACTAATTAAGAAAATGTCTTAACAGCTGGATTTTATAGAGGCATTTTCTCAACTGAGGTTCCCTCCTGTCAGGTGACTAGCTGAGTCACGTTGTCGTAAGACTAGCCAGCACAAGGAGGAAACAGGCTAACAGGTCCTTACCCCTTCCTGACGAGGCTCCAAGCTAGAACAGTGTTTTTCCACAGGTTGACCTGGGCACTCAGAGGCAGGTGACAGGAATCATCACGCAGGGGGCCCGTGACTTCGGGCAGATCCAGTATGTGGCATCCTACAAGGTGGCCCACAGCAATGACGGTGTGCATTGGACCATGTATGAGGAGCAAGGGACGGACAAGGTGGGTGTCCTGTGTAGCCGCAGTCCCTGGGACACTGCAGGGCTCTGAGGGGTGGGGAGACGGCCTCACTGTGGGGGCTCCTGACACGCCAATCGTTTCCAGGTCTTCCGTGGCAACTCGGACAACAACTCGCACAAGAAGAATGTTTTTGAGGCGCCCTTCATGGCTCGCTATGTGCGCGTCCTTCCCGTGTCCTGGCACAGGCGCATCACCCTGCGCCTCGAGCTGCTGGGCTGTTAGTCCTCGGTCCTTCCGGCCCAAGCGACGGGAGAGCCAGCCAGCGGCCGAGGCCGCCTCCCCTGCCTCCCGGGCCGGCTGCCTTCTCAGCCCTCCTCCTCCTCGGACTGGGGCTGGAGGCGGGAAGGGGGACAGGGTACCAGACTTGCCGCTCACCTTTGCCTTGCCCTGCCTGCCGCCTCCACAGGCCTCCTGCCAGCCCCTTTTCTCAGGCATTCTGGGGAGTCGGATGGGTCTGAGGTGAATAGGGAAGAAGGCTAAAGTGCGGGTATGTGGACTCCATCCCTACCGACTGCTCCAAGTCCTAACCCCCCTGCCAGGGGGGCTGACTCAAGACTAAAGTAGAGGGACCTCCGGTTTCCTGCCCCCCTCTCTGCACACCACACATTCCCCCCATGTTCCATTCCAGGCCTCCGGGAAGAGGAGGCCCATGCCTGCTTGCCACCCCTTGGGTCACCAGACCCTGCCTCTTATCTGAGATGCCTCTTGACCCTTGCTCTGGAGCCCCAGATGACAAGGGGACTGGCGGGATGGGAGAGCAGGTGGGCACTGGCTGGCTGGCTGGCTGGCTTTGGGGCCTCTGCTGGCTTGCTGCTCAGGTTAATAGGCAGACTCCAAAATACACTGTGTTCTCCCCTGGAGCCTCGGTGCTGCTTCATTGCCTTGTCCCCGCCAGACTGCTGCTCTCTGCCCCCCCCCCCCATTGCCCCGTCCTCCAGTGCCCAGTACTCTTCTGTCTCTTGCCAGGCTGAAAATAGCATAAGAGCAGGAGCTGGAGCCTGGGTGTGGGGTGGGGTTAGGAGTAGGCTTCTCTCCTCCAACCCTGAGTCACATCTTCCCGTCTCTACCTCCTTACTGCTCTGGGTCTGGCCTGCAGCTGCCACTTGGTGAAGGGCGGGAGGGGGGGTGGGGGTGGGGGGATGGGGGTGGAGCCCTGGGAGATAGGTGGCTCCTGTGAATGCCCCCTGCTCCTTCCCGCACTAAGAAGGTGTGGCTTCTCCTTTGACAGTCTCCATTCTCGTTGCCTGGAGAAGTTTTTAGAAAGGCAACATACCTGGCTTTCAGAGAACAAGGGCCCTGGTGGGCTCAGCAGGGAGCAGTGTGGACCGGAAGGAAGGGGGAAGGTCGCCAGGTCGCCAGACAGGATTGTGGTCAAGAGCATGCCACTTCCCAGAAGCCACTGGTTGGGGGAGGGGGGGCACTCTGCTCTGCTTTGCATGTGGCCAGAAGGAGCTGTGCTGGCCCGTGCCCTGGTCATCTGGGGGACGTGTCTGGCTGGCTGGGAAAGGTTAATGAAACCACCCCGTGTCCCAGCCAAGCTTCAGGGGCTGTGCTATGGCTCCCATGGGGAGCAGGAGGGAGCTACTAACAGTAGGTGTATCTGGAAGCACACCAGAGACTCACCGGGAAGTGCTTCTGAGAGCGGCCCACTGTTGCCAGGACTTGTGGGTAGGGCAGAGTAAGAGACATCGTGGTGTCCTCCCCATGATAGAGGGACGGGAGACTGCTCAGCCCCGAAGGGAGGGCATCTCGGCCTGCACCAGTTGCCTGAGTGTTTCACTGGACTTGTGTGGATTGAATTCAGAATCTAGTCTTGTCGGCCTCAGTCCTCCCTCCTCAGGGCGCCACCCCACTCCCTGCTCTGGCCTTCCCTGGGGACCAGCTGGCCATGGGAGAAGCATCCTTTCTGACACACTGCTTGGGATGACTTTGTCTCCTGGGAACTCACCTGGCTCAGACCACACAGCCATTTCTGTGGGTCAGTCTTCTTGGCTGGGCTGCTGGGCAGGTGGGCAGATGGTAGCACAAGCGCCCCCACCTGGTGTGGAAGAGTAGTGTCGCCCAAGCTTCTCGCTTGGTGCCTTCTCCTTTCTGTGTAGTGTTGGCCACAGCCTTAAGAGAGCCTGCCTTCTGGGATCCTAGTCTAGATTTCCTCACTTGGAGTTTGGTTTTCTTTTCCTTTCCCGTCTGCACTCTATAGACAACCACATTTGGCATTCTCTGCCTGCTGACCACCCTATCACGTGCTGTGACAATAGGCCCTTCCGGCTGACCATGAGTCTGCTTCCACCAGAGGCTGTCAGCGCCTACCCTGCCTCTGCCAGGGGGTCTAGGCTCCTCGCATCAGACAAACATGGTTCCCATCCCAGCTCTGTAGTGGCTGGCATTGGGCCTCTGGTCATCTATAAAATGGAAATAAGAAGGCCGAGTCCGTGACATTGCTGGGACTAAAGGACAGCATTGATGCCAAGCCTGGCCCATCCATAGCCCCAGAGGCTTGTGGGAGGCCCCTCATTGGTACTTGTTTCCTGTTTATATCCATCCATCCATCCATCCATCCATGGGACAGCTCCATCCCTACCTAACCTGCAGGGGAACCTTCACAGCTCCTCTTTACCTATAGACCAGGTATTCATTTTAGAGGAACTTTGCTGTGACTTGGTTTGTGGCTGGCTGGGAGAGCACGTGGGCAGGGAGGAGACCATCTAGAGACACACAAACACAGAATGCACGTGCACAGGGAGGAGGCCATCTAGAGGCGTATTAGGAAAGCCTGGGCTCCTGACCCTGTGTCCTTTCTGTTAGCACCGGCTAAAGGACCTCCTTAGGTTTTTCTGTTGAGGAAACGATAGGCCATGCAGGGCAGGGCCTGGTCCTTTTGGACAGGAAAGAAAACCCGCTGTCCAAACAGAAGCATCCTGAGAAGTGGCTGCCTGTGGGACATTTGTCAGCAGCCCTGCAAGAGGAGTAGCCCATGCTATCCTTGCTTACCCCCACCCCAGGACCCCCCTAGGGGCAGGTCTATGTGTGTGGCTAGCCCTCTGTGTGCCCATCCTCCCGCACAAGGTTGTCATGCTCAGCTCCCAACAGGAAGCAGGCACGCATTACTTACTCCCCTTGAACCGCGCGTGTGTGGCACAGCCGGTCATAGCCCACCCGCAGAGTGCTGAAGGAGATTTTTCTTAGAAGCCCGGTGTTTTAATGGGACCTCCCACCTCTACAAATACTTCTGTGCACCTCCCTTTGAACTCTTCCCCTGACATGTGAGTGTCCACTCACAACTCGGTCAGCCTGCAGCTCCAGGTTTGGGGTCTGGACTCCAGCTCTAACAGTTGCTGCTCTCTGGGGGCCAGGAGGGAAAGGGACTGTGTACCTTTAAGGGGTTGGTCCGCGGGGAGCGCGAGGTTTGTTGGAAGCAGCTTCCTTTGGGGCCATTTAAGATCCCAGATTTTTCTGCTACTTCAGACCTGGACAGCCCGTGGCCTCCGAGTGTCTCAGGGGCCCCAAGCGTTTGAGTCGTTGAAGAGCCTGCTGGGAACGGTACACGTGGCTGGGGTGGTTGCGGTCCGGGGCTCTGTGCATGCAAGTTTCTCCCTTCCCACCCAGGGACCCCGAGGTTGCCAGGAAGGGTGAGGATGGACGGGGACAGGGGGCAGAGGGAACTGGGGACTGAGGGGTTCAGCCCTATGGGCTGACTTGCGACGACCCTTTTGGGAGCTGCTAAGAGGTAAAACCACAGTGAGCTCTGGGGATAGTGAAGTTTGTCGTCTTCTGCCTTGCTGCCACTGTCGGTACCAGCTCCGTTTCAGGCATCTGTGGGATGCAGTGGGAGCCACCAGAGACCCTAGTGAGAGGAGGGAGTGGGAACTGGGAACAGTCTGCGTGGGGATGGACTGAGGATGCGTGCCTTTAGTCCACTCTGAACATTTGGGGACAAACTCAGGTTTGTCCTGGCGAGCACCTGGAGTGCCTGCCCTAGGGACAGGAGTGCACTGGGGGCGAACCCTGGGTGCAAGCTGCCCCCCCCCAGGGAGGAGGCCAGGAAGGAGAGGCACTTGGACCCCGCTCTATCCCCAGCTCGTTAGGTGGTCACTGGCTCCCTGCCTGCGACCCTGTTTGGTAAAGGGCCTCTAGTGCTGACCCAGGGAATGGTGAGAGGGGTGCCTGCCTGAGGCACCCTAGTTTCCTCCAGCGACTTGCACCAGGAAGCCTGCAATACCGGAGGAAAACGTCCCTCTATTGCCTCTGCCAGGGTTCTGACCGGTGATGATGGCAGAATTTCAAAGGCTAGATAAAGCCTGATTGAAACTGGGGCTTTGATGTCAAATTCCTTCCTGAACTAGCCTGATGTATCTGGGGGGCAACCCTGCCCTCTGCTGGTGTCTAAGGAGCTAATCAATGGCTCGGTTGCTGCGTGAATGCGGCTGAGATGGGATGGCATGAAACCGAGGTGCATTATTGAAAGAGGGACTCAGACATTGCTTCTGACTCCCACCCAGGCTTCTGCTCTGTGGTTAACCCTAGCATTTGGGGGGCCACCCTTGTCTTCAGCCTCTAAGTTTCAGTCTGCTCAGAAGGTGGAAGGCTTTTGTTTCAAGAGTCCAGATGACTTGCTCAAAGTCACCCAGATGGTGGCAGAGCCAGGGTTCAAAGCTAGCAAGTCCAACTTGAATCTTAGGGGGTTCTGAATTCTCCCGTGTTGAGTGATTTATTGGGCACCGGGCACATCATCTCTTGCTAACTTCTTTAATTTGACCTAGTCCCTCCCTAGTGAAAGGCTGCTCACCTGCAGGGCTAACATCACAGCATCACAGCCACTACTTGCATAGTGCTAATAAAGTCAGACTTAAATGGAGTTGGGGGCTCAGGTAGCTGAGGTCAGACAGGCTGGGGAGAGGGTGTTTTTTGGTTTGGTGTGGGAGGTTTTTGATGATGCACATTTGGTTGGAGGTCACATATCTCTCAGAGCCACTGTTTGGAGACAGTAAATCATGCCATACCTCGTCTGTTGATTCTTCATGTCTTCCTTCTTAAAAAGTCAAGGGAATGTGTGACAGAGCCTCTGGCCACCACATGGACATTGCTTCCTGATGTCCCTGGGACCCCAGCCCATATGGCCTCTGAACTCTTTTTTTATTATTTTTATTGAGCTATACATTTTCCCCCCACTCCCTTCCCCTTCTCCCTCTCTGACCCCACCCTCCCTCATACCTCCCCACGCTCCCAATCTAGTCTTTTTCTGCTTCCTAGGCAGATCCGTGTATGTCTCCCTTAGGCTCCTCTTTGTTACCTAGGTTCTCTGGGTTTGTTGTCCTCTGGATTCTTCCTTCTCTTTGTCCCACCTGCTTCTCCCAGGATTCTCAAGGCTCTGGTCTTCTCAATAGTCTTCCTGACGTACAGTCAAGAAACACCCAGGCCTCAGGCTGTGGCTCAGTTGGTAGAGTGCTTGCCCAGCATTCAGCAAAGCCCCGGGTTCCAAGTGCCCCATAACCTGGTCGTAGTGGCACAGACCTGTAATCCCAGCACTTGTGGGGTGGAGGAAGGAGGGCCGGAAGTTCAAGGCTGCCCTCAGTAACGTGAAGAGTTCAGGGCCAGCCTGGGCTACACGAGGGAGGCTTTCTTTGAAAGTAAAGAAGCCCCGTCTCCCTGCTCCATCTTCACCTGTCATTTGCAGCCACATCTGTGCCTGTCACCACCTGTGTCAGACGGTGAAGCCCCGGAGCGCTCTGCTTTGCATGCCTATTCCCTACGGCTCACTCCACCTAGCTTGTGGCGGATTATTTGTTGAGGAAACGAGGTCAGATCTCAGCTCTTTCATCTTCCTAAGACTAACTTTAGGCATGCATCTTAGCACTGCCGAGCCTCAGTTTTCTTGTCTGTACAATGGGATGATGATCTTGACACTAGTGTGGGTGTGTGTGTGTGTGTGTGTGAGAGAGAGACTGTGGCTGGGAAGGCACACGGACAGTTGGAGGACAGCTCATAATTCACATCAGCTAACAAGAATCCTACCTCTGTCATTTCGTGGCCATGTGGCCTTTGTGTATTTGTGTCTCCGTGTCTCTGTTCACTTGCGCATTAAATGGAACAAATAAAATTGTCTTTACCAGTTATGATGTGGGTCCCCTTGGGAGGGCTATAGGAGGTGCCAGATGTAGAAGTTCATTTAAAAAACTAGGGAGCTAGTTCGGGGCCCAGGCTGGAGGTTGTGAGTGTTGCCAGGGTCTCTGAGGTTGGGCAAGCCAGCCTTGGGAACTCACACTCTGTGGTGTTGGAGGGAGTTCCAGGTGTTTCCAAGCTGTGGCCACCTTCTCCATTACTGAAAGGGTGAAGGGGAACAAGGTGAGTGTAACGGAGAATTGAGTTGACTTTGCAGTAGTTTTTCCCAGTTCTTGAGTGTCAGGAGGTTTCTGACTGTTGAGGAGAGGTTTGTTGTGTGAGTTCTGATGAAGGCTGACAGAAAGCACCTAACTTCATTCAGCATATCCACAGGTGTGCCTCCCCACCCAGACTCCCGTGAGTCACTGCAGAGCTCGGGAGGTAAACAGATGGGGGTGTTTCAGAATCCTTGCTAATCTGGATGCCCAAATCAACTTTCACCATGGCAACTCAAGGATACTGGCTGAGGGTGAGGGTAGTGGACCCATGTGACTGGCTCAAGGGCCCCTGAAACTGTCTAATAAAACCAGGAATAAGATGAAGAAACGCCAAGGCAATCCTGAATTAAAAATCGAAATATAGAAGAGGGGGAATGTAATCTAGGGCATCCAATGTTTCAGGCAACTGGTCTACTATAGGATGACATCCCAACCCTGTTCAGACTTCTCATTTTGGCAAACTTGGCTCCTCCTCCTCTCCTTCTTTCTACCCACTCCCTTCTTTTTAGAGATTTATTTATTTTAGGTGTATGAGTGTTTTGCTTGCATGTACCTGTGTATAACACATATGTTGGGAGAAGGTACTGGACTCCCTGGAACTGGAGTTACAGATAGTTGTAAGCCACCATGTGGGTGCTGGAAACGGAACTGGCTTCTAGCGATGTTAGTGTGCTCCAAGGAATTCCATCAACAAAGAGGAAGCTCTTGCTTGCCACACGGTAGGAGGACCTGCCCTCTGTCCCCAAGATGACAGAGAATCTGTGACACCTCCCATTTTAGGCACGCATCTCCATTCCTGGCCTTGCTTGTTTTTAAAGGCAGGCTTTCTCTTTGCAGCCCAGGCTGGCCTGGAACTCCTTCTCCTCCCTTTGCCTCCCCGGGGCTGGGACTAGCAGGTGTGTGGCATCAGGCAGCGCCTGTGGGTGGTTTTAACCAGGACTGCTTTTGCTCCCTTTATTTAGCACTGGGATGCTCAAGTCTTATGTTTTGAGCAGTAGGTTCTATTTTCTTCTAACCTTGTAATTGTTTTAGTGTATAATTTTGAAACAATGCACATCCTTTTTTTTTTTAAGGATACAAAGGACACTGTGTGGGAGAAGCACCTGCACCCACAGGCTGACTTTCTACCTGGGAGCACTGGTCTCATGTGAACTGCTCTAAGGGGCCAGGGTGGTCAGCGGTGGGGTGGCCGTGGGCCACCCAGTTCTATCTCTATCCACAAGCCTCTGGTGCGTCAGCCTGCTTCCCTCTGGGTTTCCAAGTTGAAGTCTAAGGGAAGGGAAAGGAAACGACTTTTAGGGCGAGCTCTACAGCAGGCACTCATGTGTTCCCCACAATCTTCTCACTGCATTTAGCCTGGTGACTCCAGTCAAATTCCAATTAGCACTTCCAAGCCGGATGACCTTGGGCAGCCTTTTCCTTGGCTTTCTCCTTTGTAAAGCAGGAACACTGGTGTCAGTACCAGCTGATCTGTCAAATGCCTGGAAAGGGGGGGTGAGGATTGAGAAGAGACAAAAGACACAATACTGTAGATGCCTCAAATTTATTTCTCATAGCCCTTTTATTCCCCAAGCAAAAGGGGGGGGGGGGGGGGAAGACTTCCTTACCACGGTACAAGGAACGAACGAGCACAATTACCGCTTTAATTCTCAAAACATCTAGTAACCATGTGCTACGTCAAAACTCCTGTGCTATTTGGTCTTGAAGAGCAAGACATCAAGTAGTGACACCTTCGGTCAAACATCCTGTTATTTGACCTTGAGGAGCAAGAATAAGTTTGAGCTCTCTGACCTTAAGTCAAGATGGAATGGAGTCACTGTGGCCTCCCACATACTGGGCTGGGGACACAGCTTGGTAGAGCTCTTGGTTAGCATACACGAGGCCCTATATTGATTCCCCAGCACTCCTGTAACCCCAGTACTTGGGAGGTGGAGACAGGAGGGTCAGGATTCATAGTGAGATCAAGACCTGCCTGGGATACGGGTGACCCTGTCTTAAAAATACACTAACAGAGACACTGATAACCTCGTAAGGTTGTAGTGAGGACTCTAAGATAGTAAGTGCTCATGAAGGTCGGCTGCTTTTGCTGTTATTCTTGCAGCTGGTACGCATTAGTTACTTCCTGAGGCAGTGACCAAATCCTGACAAGAAACAGCTTTAAGGAGGAAGGGACTGGCTCACTGTTTGTGGGGATACAGTCCCCGAGGTGAGGACGACATGGCAGTGGAAGCCGCTGGAGCAGTGGAGTGTGATGTCGCTGGTCCTCATCCTGGCAGGCAGGAAGTAGACACATGTGGATGGAACTACGGTGGGTCACTCTCCACAACCCCACTTCCTCCATCTAAGACCGGCACAAGTGTGTCTAACCTCAGACATTGTGATACGACACGGTCGTTTACATAATTCATCTAAGACTGGCACAAGTGTGTCTAACCTCAGACATTGTGATACGACACGGTCATTTACATAATTCATCTAAGACTGGCACAAGTGTGTCTAACCTCAGACATTGCCATACGACACGGTCATTTACATAGTTCATATTTGAGAGCCACACAATCAAATTAAAAAAAGAAACAAATAAATAAAAATAAAAAGACACAGGGCCAGAGGGAGAGTTCAGCAGTCAAGAGCACTTCCTGTCCTTCTAGAAGTCCTGAGTTCAGTTCCCAGTACTCATACCGGGTGGCTTCCAACCGCCTGCAACTCTAACTATAGGCGATCCAGCACCACCTCTGGTCTCCACGGGCACTGCACACATATGGCACAGCAAACCCCCAGATCTCATAATGGCTTCAGTAAGTTTTATGATTTTGTGTTTGGGCTGCATTCCACAATCTCCTAGGACAGCACCATGTGACACAGCTTATGAGGTTGTGTCACACTGGAACTGTTACAGCGGGAATTGAGTGAGGGCCTTCAACACAGGGAGGCGGAGCTGCGTTCACAAATACTCAGTGTGTGGTGGTTTAAGTTCGGGACACTTGTTCCTGGGCCGTTGTAGGTAGAGGATGTCCAGGCTGCAGGGTGGCTGTGGGTCTCATCTCTGCGGCTGGAGAAAGAACATCAGGATAAGACCGCCCCCTGCAGCCCAGACACCGCACAGGCTATCTCTGCTCACATAACGTTCGTTTTGCCCGTATCTAGAATCCTATCGCTGTAGGAGAAAACCGGGACCCGCTGGGGAGAAGTGCACCAGGCAAGGGTTATGATCTCCACCTCGCAGCCGCAGACATAGCTCAGAGTCACACGGGGAAGAGCAGTGGCTTCCGTGCAGCATCTGCATCGATAACCAACCACAGGTGGATAGTCAAGCGGAAAAAAGTGTAGACATTTTCTTTGTCGCTAGTCCCCGAACAACACGGTATAATAGTGACTATACAGAATTAGATATAAGCGACCTAGAGATGACGTGCGGTGTACAGAATGAGTTTGGAGAGGTAATATGTCAGTGTGATGCCACTTAATGTCAGAGTGTCTTGGATATTGGCACCCACGAGGGTCTTGTGAAAAACTGTTCACTGGTATTGGGGGGATGGTTGGAGTGAAGATGGTTTTGAGCAGGGATCGTCTGGGTCCTGATCAGGAGGCTTTGTTGAGTCAGCAGAGCTCTGCCCCAGCACAGTAAGTTTATACCTCAGCTTTTCTGCAGGTACATGGAAGAAGAGGGAATTCAGACCTCAGTTCTCTGCGTCCACTGCTCCTTTCCAGCAAGAACTAATTGCTCTGTAAACAACAATATTCCCTTAGAGTCTGGTCACCCTCACAGGCCAGTATTTGCTTCGAATTCCCCCCTATTCTCTCCTTCCCTCTCCCTCCCTCCTTCCCCCCTCCTTCCCTCCCTCTCCCTTCCTCCTTCCCCCTCCTTCCCTCCCCTCTCTCCCTCCTTCCCCCTCCCTCCCTCCCCCACCCTTTCCACTCCCTCCCCCTCCCCACTCCCTCCCTCCCTCCCTCCCTCCCTCCCTCCCTCCCTTCTTCCTTCCTTTCTTCCTTTGGAGCCCCTGCCTCCTCTATCTTGTACACAGATATTCTCATAAGGCCACGTGTTTGCAATCAATGTGGAAATTGTATGTTTTGCTTTGTCACAAATGACACCCTGAGTAACCTCCCGCATTCCTCCACAATAATCATACAGCTCTGTCGGCAACGGCCTGTGGGCACTTTGCTCTTGCCACACGGAGGCCTGCCTGCCACCTGCCTGCCTCCTGCTTGCCTCCAGAAGGGTGTCCCTGAGATGTGAGTCTGACCCCGGAACGCATCTCCTTGGAGCTTTCATCTGCAGCTGTCAGGACAGAGAGTAGGCATCAGGCTCACCTCCTCCCAAGGCACTTGGAGTCCCTGCTGGCCTCTCACCCCTTCTCCCACGTCAGTAAGAGACGGGGCAGGAAGCAGAGTTCACTCCAGATGGCTGCAACAGGGATATTTCAATCAAGGGGTGGACTCTAGAGAGCCAGATAGGCATAAAACGGAGAAGTTTAGCGGGGAAGAGATAGTCTTTTTTCTTCCACATCTTGTCGCTGCTTCCCACTAGCTAAATCCAGCTGGAAGTGGGGCAGGACAAGGGGCCCACAGCGATGGACATGCATTGACAGCCGACCTGGGGAGGCATGGGAACAAATGGAGAGCATCCTTCATGCCTGCACCTGGCCTCTGTGCCTTGTGATACCTGCCCCTACCAGGACCAGTCTGTCCTTTCCACCCTGAAAGCTGCTCAGCTTCAATATTCCTTTGGGTAGTCCCATCTTCAGGCAGGGTCTTGTGTAACCCAGGCTGGCCTCAGACTGTATATGTGATCCTCCTGCCTCCACCTCCCCAGTGCTGGGATTACAGGTGTGCACAAACAGCATCAAGAGGCAGTTGGCCTATGGACTGTAGTTTGTTCATTTTGGTTTTAAAATACATTAAAGTATCATACTTTGCTCAGACTTTTCGAGGTAGGGGCAGGAAGATCAAGAGTTCAAGGCCATTCTCTGTGACAAGCTCACCAACTACATGAAACCCTCTTTAAAACAACAACCCCCCCAAAAAGCCTCACTTCGTAAAAGAATGTTTATGTACGTGTGTGTATTCACCTACACACACCCCAGTGCACACGTCAAGGTTATACAACATTGTGGAGTTGGTTCTCCTCCACCTTACGGATGCTATGGCTTCCAGAGCCCGAACTCATATCTGCACAGGCGGAGTCTTTACCCACTGAGTTGTCTTAGACCTCAAATGCTTTTTGACTTTGCTGTAGTCTTAAAACTAAATGTCACATTGTCATAGGCCTCCCCACACAGACACTTCTGTGTTGAAACAAGTTTCATGGTGCAGACTTATTGTTACTAAACATGAAACCCACCCTGGAATGTTCTAGTGTCCTCTGTTTTCCTTAAAAGGTGCTGTTTATAACCTTTGAGATTCAAACTGCTTGGGCGTTCTCATTGCTTATTGCCCACGGATGCAGTTCTCCCCTACCAAGTGGACACCTCTTCTGGCTTGTTCTTGCTGATTGCTGCGCTCTGAGGACAGCACCTGGAGTGCGGAGCTGTTCTACGATGCACCGTTGAGCTAGTGGGGGAGAGGGTGCAAACGGAGGGGTCCTAGACCCCCGTAGTGTGGCTTCTGTAATTGGCTTGTTTTCTTTCTCTCTGCAGTTGCCCTGGGATCCAGCCTCGTCCAAGACACCTTGGCACTGCCACCATCCTGGCCAGGATGGGCCTGCTGTTCCTTGTCTTGCTGTTGCCACTTTCCTGCATTTTGGGGCTGCCATTCTACAACGGCTTCTACTATTCCAGTGGCCGGCATAGCAGGACCTTGGGCGATGGCCATGGGGAAGGTGGGTGGCTCCTAGGCCTGTCTCCTGGCTCCTGCTATGATATGCAGGTTTCAGGCCAGGGTGGAGACAGCAGCATCTTCCCTGTCTGGGACTCCAAGGGGGAATCAGCCTTGCTTCTAAGATGGGAAGAGATGGTTTAGATGCTCTGGGTTTGCTGGTACCATAGACACGGGACCAAGGTCTCTTGGGGTAGCCCTCGTTCCTAGAACAGCTGGTTCTTTTCGATCCAGCTCAAGTGTCACCACCCCGGTCTCCCCTGCAGAAGAGACACTGGAGTCACAGAGATGTGAATCTGAATATTAGTTGCACCTCTTCTGGCTGGGTGGCTTGGGGCAGGGGACTTTTGAGATCGAAGACACCGTGTCGCCGCCGCAGTGACTTCCATCTTATCACCTAGTTCTGTTGCTCAGGGAGTTCTGTCATTTGAATCCTGAGTGCTGACAATCTTCTGCCTTGGTAGAATATCTGGGTCTTTTGGGGGAGCGCTGGTCAACATTTGGCCCAGACTGTGAGAAGGAGGGTGTGCCATGTTCTCTGGAGGCCATTGTGGAAGGAAGGGAGCTCAGGAACACTTGAAGCAGGGCACTCACTGTATCTGTCTTGTCCCTGGTTGAGATTCTTATTGGCTGTTATGGCAGCTAGCATTTAAAATAAGTTTTTTTTTGTTTTGTTGAGACACTCACATAGCCTGTGCTGCCATCAAACTTGATATATAGCTGGGGACGGCCATGAACTTCTGATCCTTCTGACTCTGTCTGCCAAGTGCTGGGGTTACAGGCACGCTTTTACACTGGTTTTGATGCACTGTTGGGGACAAAACCCAGGGCTTGTTTGTAGTAAGCAAGCACTTTCCTAACTGAGCGACACCCCTACCTTCCTATGCTGGCCTTGAAGTTTCTGTGTAACCAAAGATAGCTTTGAGGTCCTGACTCTCCTGCCTCTGCCTCCCAAGATCTGTGATCATAGGCAGGAACCACCATCCTTGGCTTGCCAGTTAGGGTTTGGTGCAGAACAAATTACCACAAAAATGGCTGCTTAACAGCAGACCCAATAACTGAGCCCTGGGGCCCAGTGCTTTGGTGTGAGCTGTTTCTTCTGGTCCTACAGACTGCTTCTCTTTGGTGCTGTGTATGCCCAGTCTTCCTCAGAGTCTTGGGGCGGGGGAGGGGGAGGGATGGGAGTGGGGGAGGAGGTGTGGGGGAGGGGTGGGATAGGAGTGGGGTCGGGGTCGGGGAGGGGTGGGTGTCTTCTCGTTATTGCCAGACTGTGCAGCAAAAAGAATTTTAGGACAGCTCAGAGTTTCTTGGTTAAGCAAACGGATCAGATGAACTGAGCCATCAGTGTGTTAGAACATCCCCGAGGGTCCCAGCAGTCCCTGCCTGTGGCCTCTGGGGGTTGTGAAGCCACCCAGCTGAGCCTTGGTATTAGGGAGGGATGTGCTGGTCTAGAGACCCACCTCCTTGTTTCGTCTACAAGGAGAATTCTGCCCTTGAGTCGAACCCTGAGCAGCTGCAGCTCGGGAAGGGAGTGCTGGAAGAGATCAAGGCATTGACCCTGGAGACCCTCGCAGGAGAGCGAGGGGTTCTGTTCTCCCTCGAGTCCCCTCTATCTCCTAACTGTCCCATCTCAGCACTTGAAGATGACCTGCTATTGGGTAAAGGGTCACCTCCCAGGTGGTTGGTGTAGGATGACACCAGCTGAGGATAATGCACTCTGCTTCCCATGGTCTCCCGAGCTCTAGGCAGGCAAGGCTGGGCTTGGAGAAGGCTTGGAGAAGGTGGACTCAACCAGGGCTCCTGGTACCAGGCCTCAGAACAGGCACAGTGGGTCAGTTATTTCTACCTTTCATCTGAGCAGCAAGCGGATGGCAAGGCCAGCACAATTTCAAGGAACTGATGGTACCTCTTTCTTTTCCTTCCTTCCTTCCTTCCTTTCTTCCTTCCTTCCTTCCTTCCTTCCTTCCTTCCTTCCTTTTTTTTTTGAGACACAGTTTCACTGCATGTAGCTCATGCTGGTCTAAAGTTAATGTTAATCCCTCTGCCTCAGCCTTCCTACACAGCTCAGTGGAGGTAGGCACAAAGTCACACGGCTGGGTAGCGGATTGTGGAGGAGTGAAGCATCAGGCGCTTGGAGGGGTGGGGCAGGTGGCTCTCTTTGCATCCCACAACACAGGAGCCTAGAGGGACTTGGGGTGAGGGTATGGGTGATCCTTGTAAGATCATTGGTGCCTTTGTTCCCGGCCTTGCCCCCAGGCCCATTCGCTGGAGTGAAGTTGATGGTGGAGACGACTGAGGAGTCCCTGTTCAGTCACCTAGGAGCCAGTGTGACCCTGCCCTGCCACTACCGCTATGAGCCAGCCCTGGCATCCCCGAGACGCGTGCGTGTTAAGTGGTGGAAGCTACCAGAGGATGGATCCCCAGAGCAGGATGTGCTCGTGGCCATTGGGCAGAGGCACCGCTCCTTCGGGAACTACCAGGGGCGAGTACAGCTGCGGCAGGGCAAACAGCAAGAAGTCTCCCTGGAGCTTAGGGACCTGCGGCTGGAGGACTCTGGGCGCTACCGCTGTGAGGTCATTGACGGGCTGGAGGATGAGAGCGGCCTGGTAGAGCTGGAGCTTCGGGGTGAGGCCCTGACAGATGCCACTGGGACCCAAGGGAGGGGGAGAGGACCCAGAGAAGGCATAGACCTGTATACATTACACAGGTAAGCACATCTGAGTCTCAGAACCACCCTAAAAGGAAGTTATTGTAGTGTCACGGCTCTTGTTTTCCAGATGAGGAAATGAAGAGAGATCAAGTAACTTATGTCAGGTGGTATAGCTGATGGGTGGCAGAGGTGGTGTTTGGACCCAAGGAGCAACTTCCAGAAGCCGCCGCCTCCTGTTCCTTCTTGTTCAGTCCTGTTCAGAAAGAGGGAAGTGGGCGCTGGTTCCACAGCTCACTGGACCTAGAACCGAGTTTCTTACAGGGTTAGTCAGCAAGACAGAAGAACAAGGCAGGGCCAATGGGTGACAGCAAGGACCGTAGAGCCTGGGGTGCACTGCTGAACTCCATTCTGTGTAAAGAAAGACATTTCATTCAGGCTAGTTATGATGCCAATTCAGAATGCAGGCCTGCTGCTGTTAGAGTTTCATGTTTATTTTAAGTATAAAATTGTGTGTGTGTGTGTGTGTGTGTGACAGAGAGAGAGAGAGAGAGAGAGAGAGAGAGAGAGAGAGAGAGAGAGAGAGAGAGAGAGAGAACACAGGGTCTTGGTCATGCTAGGTAAATGGTCAGCCACTGAGCTATATAACCAGTCAGTGGGATCTTTGGATTTTTATATAAAAATCTCCTATTTTTTAGAAAAAGACGTAGTGCTGTCTGAACCAGTCAGACGCTGTGAGCCAGGTCTCTGGTGGCTCCAGGCTGAGATCTCTTTGTTGTTCCGACTCCGTTGTGTCTTGGGTGGGACGGCATGCTTTCATCTCTCTCCTCTAACCCCATCTTAGCCTGCTCCAACCTTGGCCCCTGGGCAGGGCTCATCCCTGAAGCCCTGGGTCTCCCAAGAACAGACAAGGGAATAATCAGGCAATAATGGCAGTTCCTTTGTTCCCTGCCTCTAGTACTGAAAGTGAACTTGCCTCCTGGAAAAAAATCCCCCTGAGTCTGTAGTATCTCTACCACTGCAGCCTACAGGTCCTAACTGGCGGCCCAGAGGAGCTCAACTGCTCATTCTGAAGTCTGGGCTATCAGACTGGAAGGTCATCAGTGCCAGTCTAGAGAGACAGGAAGTCCTCACACTTTCCTCATTACTAGGGTGGGAAAGAATGGGAGTATAGGGCAGGGCCAGGTATACAATTCCCTCCCACCCCCTCCCTACCCGTCCAGTTGAGGACCATCATCTTTGCTGCTCGCTCAGCCCGCTGTACCAGGTGCCTGGCAACAGGGTGAAGTTATTCAAGGTTTTGCTTCTAAACAGCACAAGCCAAGGAGGGCCTCCTCCTGTACCCTTAGAGTTACCCCTGCTCCTTAAGGTTTCTTCTGACTTGATATGGACTGAATGATGCTTAAAATCTTTACATTGGGCTGGGGGTGGGGATATACATCAGCCAGGGAATGGTATCTACTGTCAATGAAGTCCTAGGTTCAAATCCAGCTCACAACAACAAAAATGAACCCTCATCTTTTTATACAGTAAAATTTCAAACATGCACAGCAACATGGATTTTTACTTGTGCTTTTGTTTTCTGAGACAGGATCTCACTCTGAGGGCCGCACTGCTCTTGAGCTCATGGTACTCTGTCTTAGTCTCCTGAGTGCTGGGGTCACCGGCGTGAGCAGCACATCCTGCTAGAATAGTAACTTTTGAGGGGAACATGTGCCCTTGTCAGGAAGGCCACCAGGAAGGAGGCCCCTGCCCCAGGGTGTCCCTGACCTTAAGTCTCTTTTACCTAAGGACCCTTCACCACCCCTTTTCCTGCAGTTTTTAGGGGTACCTTTCTCTGTATGCCAGGATGACCTTACACTATGATACTTCTCAGTCTCAGCCCCGCCTCAGTGCTGGGATTAGAGGCGTCAGCCACCACACCCAGCTTGTTTTGTCTCATTAAGAAATTTCTGCACTAAGAAGCCATTGTGGCATCACCCACAATGGGCTGGGCTCTCCCCCATCAATCACTAATTAAGAAAATGTTATATAGGTCGTCGTACAATCTGATCTTTTGGGTTTTTTAATTGTTTTTTGTTTTGTTTTGTTTTTCAAGGATTTCTCTGTGACTTTGGAGGCTGTTGTAGACCAGGCTGGTCTCGAACTCATGGAGATCTGCCTGCCTCTGCTGGAATTAAAGGCGTGAGCCACCACTGCCCTACAACCTGATCTTATGGAGGCATTTTCTTAATTGACGTTCCCTCCTCTCAGACTTTAGGGTGTGTCAAGTTGACATAAAACCATTGAGCAAAGCCCCCCCCCCAAGGAGCTTGCATACTATGCACTGATGACACATACAGCTGGTCCCTCATGCACAAATTAAACCTATTCATATGAGCCGGTAGATACATCAGTGGGTGATGCCACTTGTGACCCAAGGCTGGCAATTTGAGTTTGGCTGCTAGGACCTTCATGGTGGAAGGAGATAACTGATTGCCATAAGCTGTCCCTTGACTTTCATGCACATGCCCTCAAAACACTAACTAACTAACAAACTAACTAACTAACTAACTAACTAACAACTAACCAACCAAACAAATAAATAAAATAAAGCAATTAGAGAAATCAACCAGCTCGTAAATCAAAAGTACGAACCTGTGTCCCAAATGCAGAAAGTTTCAAAAACCAAGCCTTGAACTCACTGCGGGCCAAGTGCCATGCAGAACCATGATGGAGTGATGTGTGGGCATGTGTCAGGATCTTAAGCAGTCTACAGTTAATTTACCATATGTTAGAGGATGTGCAGACAGTGTCATTTTATATACAGGTTCCCATAGGTCTGGGCAGGGGGAGGGCGGCCTCATCTATCCTATTCTATGGTCAGAGACATCACTTGATGGATTAATTACCTCACAAGCCAGTGTGTATTTCCTGGGAACTCTGTTCGGTTCTAGGAGGAAGGTGAGAGGCGGGGAAGGCCTGCCTTGGGACGTAGACCTTGTACAGGAGCTGGGAGGTTTGCTGAGTTATCTGAGGATGCCTGCAACGGTGGCTGTGTGTTTTGGATCCAGCGAAAGTGGGGAGCTCCGGTGTCCTTCTCCTGGTCCCTCTGAGCCCTTCCTTCCTTTCTAGGTGTGGTTTTTCCCTACCAGCCCCGCGAAGGGCGCTACCAGCTCAACTTCCACGAGGCCCAAAAGGCCTGCCAGGAGCAGGGCGCTGTGATGGCCTCCTTTGAGCAGCTCTTCCGTGCTTGGGAGGAGGGCCTGGACTGGTGCAACGCCGGCTGGCTGCAGGATGCCTCCGTGCAGTACCCTATTGCGCTGCCCCGGCAGCCCTGTGGAGGCCTCAGCCTGGCGCCTGGTGTTCGCAGTTATGGCCAGCGCCACCACCGCCTGCACCGCTATGATGTGTTCTGCTTTGCGACTGTCTTCAAGGGTGAGTTGGATGGCCTGGCACAGACCTGCCTGCTTTGATGGTCGCCTGGAATCTGAGGGAGGGCCTCCTCATCTGTGAAGCTTCCTGAACCTTCTCTGCCTGCCCGAGGTCTGGAGCGTCAGCAGTCCTCACGGCTCTGCTCTTGATGCCTCACAGCTGCCATTGGTTATTCATTCCTCAGACATCTCCTGAGGACCGGGCTGTGGGTCAGCACAGACAAACCATTCCTTTCTCCAAACACCGGCCTTACCATTCATTGAAGGATAAATGAAAACAGAGATGTGTTCAGTACCGAAGCAAGAGTACTCAGAAGTGTCTGGCAGGGCTGGCATGTGGCTGGTAGGGTTCTTGCCTAGTGTGTACAAGGCATGGGTTCCATCCCTAGTACATCTTCAACTGGGCACTGTAGTGTGATCTCAGCACTTGGGAGGTGGAGGCAGGAGGATCAGAAGTTCAAGTTTAAGGTCATCCTCAGCTACTTAAAAAAATATCACCTGCCGGGCGTTGGTGGCACATGCCTTTAATCCTAGCACTCGGGAGGCAGAGGCAGGCGGATCTCTGTGAGTTCCAGGACAGCCGGGTCTACAGAGGGAGTGCCAGGACAGCCTCCAAAACAATACAGAGAAACCCTGTCTCGAAAAACCAAAAAAAAAAAAAAGTATCTGCTGGCACGCAGTAGGTGCTCACATAGTAGGTACTCAGTGAACGGCAGGGGACAGATTAGTCCATTCTAGGTGCCCACTCAAAATGCAGCTGGGGAGTGCAGAAATGACTAGAGCAACCCTAGTCCTGTGGCAGGTGTGGGGGCGGGATGAGGCCCGGAAGGTGCCCTGTCAAAGTGTCCCATAGAGACTCCCGTAGGGCAGCTCCCCCCGCCTGGGACAGGCCCTGCTGCCACCTCTGCCTCACAGCACTCAAACGCCCCACTTTCCCACAGGGCGCGTGTACTACCTGGAGCACCCCGAGAAGCTGACGCTGCTGGAGGCCAGGGAGGCCTGCCAGGAGGACGGCGCACGGATCTCCACCGTGGGCCAGCTCTTCGCTGCCTGGAAGTTCCGCGGCCTGGACCGCTGTGATGCTGGCTGGCTGGCAGATGGAAGTGCCCGCTACCCCATAGTTCACCCCCGTCCAAACTGCGGGCCCCCAGAGCCTGGGGTACGGACGTTCGGTTTTCCAGACCCACACACCCGCTATGGCGTCTACTGTTACCGCCAGCGCTAGCAGGATGGCCGGCTGTGTATCCATCCTGTCCCCTGACTTCCTGGGCCGACTTCCTGACACGAGGGTCCGCCTTGTCTCTTGTGAGTTGGGCATTGCTTGTTTTGTTTTGTTTTTTTCAAGACAGGATTTCTCTGTGTAGCTTTGGAGCCTGTCCTTGTAGACCAGGCTGGCCTCGAACTCACTGAGATCCTCCTGTCTCTGCCTCCCAAGTGCTGGGATTAAAGGTGTGTGCCACCACTGCCTAACTGACGATGTAAACATTTTTAAAGATATTGTTTTTTTTTTTTACAGATCAAACTCTCAATTCTCTTGACACCCCTCCCTAGGGCATTTGAGGTTCACTGGGTCTTGAAAGGCTCTGCCATGTTCTGGTACGGCTGGCATCCCTAACCTGGCGAAACTGGTGTCCAGCATGAGCAGTGGCTGCAGCTAGCCCCTTTCCTCGGCTTCTAGGGGCATAAGGCTGAGTGCTGACTCTTTTAATTTCTGCACAGGGTCCTTAGGTTTGTGGGGAGGGTTAGGGAAGGGAGAGCGCTCCCTCTTCTCCTGGTTCTAGAGTTGGACTGTCCTTTCCATGTCCCCGTTGGGAATGACCCTCTGGGTGTGTGTACCTCTCTTTGGCCAATAAACGGTGCTTTCATTCCCATCCTTCCCTTCTAGCTGGCCTCTGTGTCTGACCCATTGTCTCCTTCAGTTTCCGGACTAGATCCCAGCCCAGAGTATGTGTGGGGTCACTTCTGTCCTCCTGTCTTCCCCTGGGCGCCCCGTGTGCTGGTTTGGTTTTGACCTTGTCTATCCTACAGCATACCCTGCCTCAGGTGCTGGCCCAGCTGCTGGGGGTCTGGCTCCCATATTGGTCATCACCACCCCATGCTGGCCCATTTTTGAGGGGCTCAGGAGTAGAGTAGAAGGTGCCTTTAGTGAGGCAGGGGCACCAGTGCCCTCCCAAGGGTCTCAGAGGCTGAGGATCCATGGAGTGTCTTTGTTCCTCACCCCAACAATGATGCTTCGGGGAACCAGACCCGTATCTCATCCAGACGCCCATCAAACATGGTGTCACTCTAGTCAGAATGAGGTGAACAGATGTGACTGGACACACAGGACTCACACCATTTTGGGGTCATTTGGAATTAAAGCATGACTCCGTGGAGGACCCAGATCATGGTCACCTCAACTTTTGCTTAAATAAGAAATAATATAAACTTAAAGAAAAAAAAGGAAAAGAAAGGAAATAGATCTCTTCCAATGTCTTTATTATTATAATTATCATAATCTTTAGTTTTCAAAAATATAAATAGGTGCACGGAACACTGGTGCCTGCACCGTCCCGGGGTGGGGAGAGGGAAGGGGACGGTGGAGCAGCCCTGGGAAGGAAGTGCCCCTACCCAGGCCAGCCGAGGGATGACACCTGCTAGGTGGTGGCTGACCCAGGTGAGGGAGGGGTCACTAGGAGAGGGGCCCTGCAGGGACAGCAACCTCATTCCCCTCGGCCAGCCTGTCCCCCGTCCCAGGCTCCCTCCTCATAGATGGCACAGACCTCGGTTCCTTTTGTCCAACACATTAAGCCATAGTTAGTCTCTTCTGAGTCCTTCATGCTCTGGGGCCACCCTGCCACCCCCTCCCCTGGCCCTGTCTCTTTCCAGCTCCTCCTCCTGCCTCCCTAACTTTCCCTGGAGGTGAAATAACCGACCATTGCACTGTTCTTAGGTAAAGTCAGGAAACAAAAAAAAAATCTTCTTTATTTAATTTAACCACTTCCTTCTTACCCTGTCCCTGCACTGGTCCCTGGAAAGGCACGGTGGGAGATCAAAGAAATGTCTCTAAACTCAGTCCACGGGTTACAGTAAATTTGCTTTGGCATTTTTTGGGGGGGAAGGGGGAGGGAACAAATTAGATGTAGTTTGGGTGATGTGGGGAGTTGGGGCACACACAATGTGGGGTATTTTATTTTTCCTTCTTTAATGGATTCCTTATATGACAAAAAGCGACAAGAAGAAGACACCATCTGGCTGGCTGGGATGCACGGTCAGCCTGGCTGGCCGCTGGGCTCAGCATCCTGGGGCTCACGGTGGAGGCTCCTCTCAGTGGGCCATGCTGGGGCGGCTCCTCCTCTGTGTGGGTCTCAAGCTCCGCTTCTGTAGCCTGCGCTTATACGTGGTGGCTGCAGTGGGCGGGTGGGGGGGGGTAGAATAACAGTGAGCAGGGAAGAAGCAGGGCCAAGCTGAGATTTTTCGAGCCTTCCCGTGTCGGCAGTGCCCTCCCTGTGGACTGTGACTGTGAGCTTAGCGGTACGACCTGAAGCTGCTCCCATCCTGCTCTCCTGGGATGGATTTTTCATTGCACTTCCTGAGGCTCAGGGGACAGTCACTGTTTTCTTATCTCCTTTCAGGGAACAGAGACCTTCCCTGTGGTAGGGATGTACACACACACACACACACACACACACACACACACACACACACACTTACAGAGCAGATCCCTAGTACCTTCCCTGACTCCCTAGTAAGGCACAGAGTCTCCATGGCTACTACCACTATGCTGTGGGGAAGGGAGAAAAGGCCCTGTTGGTGGAATCTGACTCTGCACTGGTGAGGGACCGGGAAGACAATGCTTACGGTCTGTACAGGTGATCCGAGGTTCTTCCCAGTGCCCATCGGGCTGGCACCGGATGGTGGGCACGTGGCGCTGGACAAAGCCCTCAGTACACTGGTACCGCACCAGGGAGCTGATCTCATATCGGTCCTTCTTCTGCCCGAGGGTCCTGGCATGCTCCACCACTGGGGGGTCTCCACAGGCCACTGAGGGACAAATGCCTTTTAGGAAGGGGTCTCATGAGGTCTTCTGTGATAGCCCATGTAGGTAGAGACAAGGTTAGCCCAGAGCCCAGGGCATAATGGGAAAGAGATCAGGTTGTGTTTCCCAGTGCTGATCCTGGACAGCGATGTGTGTGAGTGTGTGTGAGTGTGTGAGTATGTAAATGTGTGTATATGTGTGAGTGTATGTGAGTGAATGTATGTGAGTGTGTGTGAATGTTTGTGAGTGTGAATGTGTGAGTGTGTATGTGTGTGTGAATGTGAGTATGTGAGCGTGTATGAGTGTGTGTGTGAGTGTGTATGTGAGTGTATGTGTGTATGTGTGTATGTGTGAGTGTGTGTATGTGTGTGTTTGTGTGTGTGAATGTGTATGAGTGTGTGTGAGTGTGTGCATGTGTGTGAGTGTGTATGAGTGTGTATATGTGTATGAATGTGTGAGTGTGTGAATGTGTGAAAGTGTGTGTGTGTGAGAGTGTGTGTGTGTAAGATGCAGGGCTAAGAATCCTGAGACATCTAGTTCTAACATCTGGCTTCCTCTGTGGCACTGGGAGGCAGGAAGGGAATATAAAGGTGCCCTTGAACAATGGCTGGATGATAAAAAGGAGGGGTTCAGGTTGGGGAAGAGGACAATACGGCAGAACGCCTGTGGCTTCTTTATGAAAACATATAAAGCCAGGGAGAGTGGGGCCCAAAGGAGGCTTGGGGACACAGCCATGAGTGGGAGCAGGAGGCTGGGTCCTTTTTAAGCATTGGGAGACCCACAGCCTTAGAGCTGAAGAATTCAGGCCTGGTGGCCCTGATTCTGTGACTAGCAATGTTTGGGGCCCCAAAGAAAGGGTGGCCCACCCAGGGGCCATTACGGGTGACTTCCTGTCGCTGGCATCTGAGGGACTGTGGTACGCATGGAGGTGAGGATCCTATTCTCTAGTCCATGACTTTCACCCTCTCTTTGCTCCTGTGAAAGGTTCCCAGGAGTCAGCTTCTTCTTGCTGTTAGGTCTGGGATGCTGGAGCCAGGAGAAGCCCTCATGAGCTTCTTGATGTCCTCTCATAGCCCAACTCCCCCCCAGGCCACACAGCAAGGGGTCCCATGCAGCCAAAGGGCTTATCCGCCCCCCCCCACACCCCCACCTCTCCCAACCCCTCTTACCGGTGCCCTTTTTGCATGTGAAGGGCAGCTGGTAATTGCAGGGGACATCGTTCCACTCGCCCTTCTCATGCCAGATCATCACTACGCAGTCCTCTCCAGTAGCAAAGAAGTTGTCGGGCTGATTGGGCCGCCACTTCTCAAATTGCTGTGGGCAGGGGAGGGGATGGTAAGCGGCAGGCTGAAGTGGTGTGGCTTGGCCCCCACTTCCTTCCCAGTCAGTTCCTACTCCCTTTTTCCTTTCACCCAGTATCTGGGTTATAAGGCAGCAGCAAGGGCTGCTGGGGATATGATCACGGTCATCCTAGATGCTATGGATCCCAGGCTAGGGAACTGGTCCTTTTCAGACGCTCACAACCCCCGAGGATCCATTCCCCGGTGGGGAATCCTCACTCTGCTCTTTTCTGACACATAGGCCCTTTTCACTGACCTGTAGCTGCTGCCCGCCTGTCCCACTTGGTCTCTGTGGTTTATGCCTTGAGTGGACAGTAGCCCTTTGCACATAAGGGAACTCTTTCAAATGTCATCTACTCTTTATCATGGCTTGCTATCATTTTTTTTTCATTTCCTTCTGGTTCCCTCTCCCATCTTATGCCTTTCCTCATAAAGTCCACTCAGTCCCAGGCTGGTCTCCAGAGGCAGAGAGGAAAGAGACACAATCCCTTCCTACAGAGTTCCCGCCTGCCAAGCATCTCTCTGCTCAGTGTGAGACCCGAATGCATGCTGTTCTTGGGGGGGGGGGTGTCTTTATCCCACTTATTCTCTGGCAACTCACCAGGGAGTGTCCATCAGACCAGCGGAAGTCCCCTTCGATAGTCCTGTCATTCAGCCCTATCCACTGGTAGTCTTGAGCATTTTCTGGAAAGGGAAGATAGGTTTGCACCTGGTCTTGGATGCCCTGGGCTATCTGGGGCCTGGAACTCGTGGACAGGGAAGAGTGTGGTGGAAGGAAGTCAGTGACTCCTAGGTGCATGCCACTGGACCTTGCAAGGCTCTCAGGACACGCAGGTTTGTGGTATGTGTTGGAACACCTCCTCAGGCTGGCATGAGCAGGTGATAACTACGGGGTTAGGCTGGGCTGTCTCTGTCTGGCAGGGTCTGTCCTGGGTCAGCTGGGGCTGCTGGTCCCAGTGGTCTGTGTCTTCTTTGAGGGAACCGTGGGATCATTTGACCCTCTTCTTTGGGCTCCCTGCCCTGTAGCAACCCAATTTGCATCCCCATTCCCTCCCTCCCTCCCTCCCTCTCCCTTTCTGCAGCACTGGACCTCGGAGCTGACCACTGAGCTACAGTCTCAGCCCCCCAGTCTGCTCACTTCTGACCCATAAGGCCCTTTGCTCTCACTGCTGCTTTCCGAGGCCCCTGGCAGACTCACTGTTGACAAACTCCTGTTCCTCAGGAGTGACAATGCTGCTCAGATGTGACTGCTGCTCTCGGCACCGCCTCTCGGCATCCACCCAGGTCTCACGGTCGGGGAAGTGGCGGTAACAGTGGCCCTGGAACTTGGTCCATCCTTCCTCACATTGTTCCTGGTCTGTAACAAAGGTCAGGGACATGAGGGGAGGGCGAGGCGGGCTGGGTGTGTGCTCACCGTCAGTCTTACGCCATGGACTTCTATGTTCAGTCCACCCGAAAGGCTGTGCCCTGGAGGGAGGCAACAGGCTCGGTGGGACAGAGGCTGGAGTAGGAAGCCAGTAACATCTGACTCCTGGGAGCCTCCACAGGCAGGCCAGCTGGGAAAAGAGCTTTTCTTTCCTTGATGCAGCACTCTGACTTCTGAGGTCTCCTCCTGTGGTTGTATGCCTGCCCTGTGTGAGTGGGTGGAGGGCTGGCAGGCTGAGGGACAAGGGGACAGTCGGTGGGAGGCTTTTTAATTTAAGGCAAAACATAGTTCAGAGTGTCTGAGGGATTCTGGGAAAAGGAGTTGTGGGCAACAGGTAGAAGGAGCAGAAGAGGCTGGGCATGATGGGGCTCGTAGCCTCTTTGTCACAGAATCCTGGGTGAAGCCAGAGATACCAGGAATAAGTCTCTTGGGAATGCTGAGCAAGCTGTGGGTGATGGATCTGAGCTGGATCATTATTATTATGATTAGTTTAATTCTAATTATCCTGCATGTTGCTGGGATGAAGGCCTGGGCCTTCTGCATGTCAGACAAGTGTTTCGGCCCCCAGTCCCTGAGTGGGTTCTAGCAGAGCCCACCACGTTGTCCTCCTAAAGACCTGCATGGCAACTAGAGGTTGGTTTGTGACCCGGGGCCCTGTCTTTTATTTTGTTTCACGTCTTGGAGGCAGCTGAGAAGGGAGAAGCAGTGTCACTGGCAGTAGGTTCTGTGTGCCAGAGGAGGGGCTGGTTTGTAGTCTTGGAGTGGTCTTTGGGGACATGTTGAAGTCAGGTCATCAAGACTGGAAGAGGGGATTGTGAGCTCACTGCCTTTGTGGATGATTGTAGTTTGACCCTGATGGAAGGGTTTTTACCTCTGGACTGGAAAGATGCCCTAGCCAGGATTCCCTCTCCTCTGTGAGAGCCAGTAGCTAAACAGCTGTCAACAGAGCACTGGATAGCGGGAAACCTTAATTCTTCCTTTTTCATTTCCCTGCCTGGAGCCTCCACATAGACCCAGGAGGACCCTGGGGCTCAGAGAGCTGCCACAAATATCTCAGGATGTGTGGCGGCTTCCCAACCAGGTGGCTTCAATACTTGGGCTGGTCTAGGGAGGACGGGGGAATTTCCCTGAGAGGAAGGAGTCTTCTTTGGGCTAAGGGGTGCTTGGCAAGGCTGGGAAGTGAAGAGATGGGGGATAGAGGGCCAGTAGTTAGAGAAGAAAGTTGCAGAGTAGAGGCTGGGAGGAAGAGGGTCCTCCTGCTACCTGCTGGTGCCCTTCACAAGGGAGGAGGTAAAGGTCTGGAAAGGGGCCAAGGAGGCCTCAGAGGATGCTCAGCGCTGAGACAGAGGCACCATCTCTGGGCCTGTGGGCCAGGACGTGGGCCACCTCAGCATCTGAGGGCTAAGCTAGGCAGGTAGGGTCAGCAACAATGGGAGATGGGCGTGGCTGGGGAGGACCATGCCAGTAAAGGCTGTGAGGATAGGACAGACTTCCAAAGAGGCTGGACAAAGCAGTGACACAAGAGACAAGGTACAAGATCCTGTAGGGTATTGTGTTCCAGGTTGCAACAGAGCCTTGCCTTGCTGGGCAGTCAGGCCCGGGGCCCAGTTGGGGGGCTCTAGAATCACTTTCCTGGTCTGTCAGGATGCAGAACTCTGCCCCTGTTGCAGAAGAGTCTCCCTTTCCCAGACGAGTTTCCGAGCTGTTGTCTGTATGGATGTTCTAGACCTTTCTCCCCTGTGGCGTCCTAGAGGGGAAATCCCTGTACTCTCTATTCTCACCCAGCTGAGACCCCATGCATGCACCTGATGTCTTGGGGTGTATGATAGAAGGCAGGAGGCCACAGGGAAGATGAGTGTCCCAGTCTCTTACTATAGAAACCTTAAGTTCCTCCATCAGCGTGTACCCTTGGCAAGCTTCCAAGGAACACATAATTCTTGTTACTTCCTCACCCTGTTCAGGCTCGAAGGGAGATTTCCTAGGAGTTTCAGCTGCCTAGAAGGTTCTCTAACAAGAGTTCACTGAAAAGGGTTTCGAGCCCGTGTACACTTCCAGTCCTATATGAGCCATTGCTACCAGCATCCTAAAGCCTCGAGTCCCCTTTTCTGATTTGGGAAGGCTTGGGGCTGGCAGGAATCTAGAGACCAGGATCAGTGAGAGTGCTGGGGGTCAGCTAGGTCCTGCCTTGGGTCCCTGGCCCACAGGTGCAGAGCACAGGTGTTGGCAAGGCCCACCAGAGGAAACTCAGCTCCTGTGCCTCCAACAAGACTGCTCAGCCAGACTAGACTTTTGCTTTGTACAAGGGAGAAAGAAAGGGAGCATGGACCAGGGTGGCATTCAGAGGGCAGCCGCTACGGTGTGATGAGAGAGAATGGCATGCACGGTCCCTGTTCATGCATGGCTGGAGCATACCGGTGACACAAGTCCTCTTCACGTAGATCACCCACAGCCCTCATGCCAGGAGAAGAGGAGGAAGGCAGCTCGGTTAGCATAGCATGTGGCTCCCCGGGGACATGGAAAGGACACGAAAGTCCCACAGAGAACACAGCAAGGTAGACAGTGCCCATGATCGTGCCAAGAAGATCCATGGCCACCAGCTGAGTGAGAACCCATCGCTCCTACCCATCATTTTCTTCAAGAGCGCTGCACAGAATCAGCTGTGCCGTCCTAGCGGGACCCATGCACTGAGCTCTGTGGTCACACCAGCAAGTCTGCAAGCCCTGGAAAAGGTTAGGTCTGCAAGATGCAAGGGATGCATCTCTCCTGCGACCAGATCCGCCAACATTTCAGAGGCAGGTTCCCAGAGGGAAGCAAGGAGAAGCGTTGAAATCGGGGGACAGGATTCTCGGTTGTGTTCCCCGGAATGGCTCTCCAGGTAGACTTGTGGGCTCCAGTCCAGGCCTGGAACCTGTGGTTAGAAGGGAAGGGTGAGGAAGGAGGAGGGCAGCAGTTAGTAACATTAGCTGAAGCCGAGACGGCCGGCCGTACCGATCTCACACAGGCTCCCTCCGTAGCTGGGAAGGCATAAGCATGTGAAAGCGTCGATGGCATCCACGCAGGTGGCTCCATTCAGACAAGGGCTTGAGAGGCACTCATCAATGTCTGCAAGAAACCAAGGGCCACCATTAGGACCGCTGCCGGCAATTCACAAGCACCATGGCTTCATTACGGGTGGCCAGCCCTGCGGCTCTCCAGAGGCTGGAAGAGGCCTGGCTGGATTTCCTGAGTGCTGCTGCTGCTGCTGCTGCTGCCCCCGCCGCCATCGCGGACTGCTTGAACCAAAGATCCTGACAGTTTTCTTTGGATGTCTGTGATTCTTGATGAGCAAACTTGGAGCCTTGGAACTAGCTTTTTTCAGGTTGAAGAGATCTGGTACTTCTGTAGCCAAATGCCTTTTGTGAGTCTGAGAATGGAGCTCCTTCGAGATACCTCCTCTCGTGACTGTTTCAAGAAGTCTGAACTGACCATGGACACAGTGGTGGGCAAAGAAACCGGATGTGAAGTTCTTACAGGTTGGTTAGAAGTCTTGCTTCTCCTGGCTTCCTCTACATTTGTGAGACAAGGAAAAGAGAGCAAACCCATGTTCTAGAATGAGACATCTGGAAGTGGTCTGAAGAGTATAGAGCCATGAGAAAATGGCCATATGGGATTTTTACAGGAAACTCACAGGATTTTCAGGGTTGTAGATAGTCTTTGTTTTCAGTAAATAAGATTCAAGAGCATTTATGTAACCAGAGTCTTTTGGGATAGGGAACAAAACCTCACCCAACATTGTGGTCTCCTCCCAGCTTAAACCCTCAAAAGATGGGCATCTTCAATGAGTCGTAATTTCTAGATGGGCACCCATCCTGGCCAGGGGAAGGCAAACATGGGAGGCTGGCTTATTTAGTGTCTGCCTGGATGCTGTTAGTGGGTGCCGACCCATTGCCAGCCTGGGATTCTGTCAGGTGCCCAGACCCCTGTCGCAGCCAGACTCTTCGCCCCTTCTGAGTTTTTGGCTCCAAGGCATTCTTTCTAGCTGAACTGTTTGCAAGACTCGAATTTGTAAATTGTTGACCTTTGCCTCAACTTATCAACAGCAAGCCGAATCAAGAACTGAGCCTCTTAGACTCATCTTTCTACCCCTTTCTGGGAAGCCAGGAGGCCTGGGGAGGGGCTGGGGAAGACTTCTGCTGTCTTCGTATTTGTAACTCCGGAACTGGCCTTGACCTTGTTGTGTACTCCGAGGGTGACCTTGAACTTCTGAGTGTCCTGCCTCCACTTGCTGAGTTCTGGAATTGTAGGTAGGCATCATCGTGCCAGGTTTATGTCATGCTGGCAATCCGACCCAGGGCTTTGAACATTCCAGGCAAGCACTCTGTCAGCTGTGTTACATTGCCAACCTGGAAGAGTCTAATTCTTCATAGGTGCAATCATGTTTACTTGAGGTCCAGGGTCCAACAGTATGCTGATGGATGGTCTCCTCGGGACCAGCAGAGTCTTGACTTCAGAGCAGGAGCTTAATTCATCCTAGGACTTAGATCTTGTGGCCTATAACAGCAAACTAGACTTTTACGTCAGTCCTGTGCTAGGATGGTCAGTGCACTCGCCTTTGCATCTTCACGTTCTGGATCGTCTTGGATAAGTTTCTGCATTTGTGGCCTGAGAATTCCTGGTTCTCTGGTCCCTTGCTCAACCTGTGCTGCTCCCCTCTCCGTATTGCTGTCATCTCTTCTCTTCCTGTGAAGCTCTTGGCTTCATTTCAAGAAGCACACACCATGGATTAGAAACTCACAGTTCCAAGCAACCCCAAAATGCATGGAGGAACTGACTGAAATCCCGACATGCACTTGGTTTCCCAGCATGCACCAGGATTCCCAGCAGCAGCAGTAGCAGCAATAGGTCAGGTCAGTCGGCAGAGAGGAAGCTGGGGGCAGCTCTCCTGCTTCAGGAAAGCTAGTTGTGCTCTCTTTTGTCCATTAGCCTCATTATGGGAGATGGGAAGCACCAGGGCAAGGGGGTTAAGCACATGGAGGCACTAAAGCAGTTGTACAGAGCAGGGGTGAGGCGGCCTCAGGGTAAAAGAACCAGACATCAACTCTGGAGTCCTTGGCAGAACCATGAGACAAAGGGGAGGAAAGTCAGAGGCCTGGTGGAGGCCAGGCCTCGTGGCTTCCAGCTGTTCCAAAAGCTTAGAGAGGGCTGTCATTTGGCCCGGGATATGGGAAGTTGTGTTGTTTTCCTTCTGCATTTGGTCAGGGTATGAAGTTTGAGAACTGCTTCAGGGACCTGGATACCAAGATGAGGATGAGCCACAGTCCTGAGACGTGCATAGCACTGGGTACTTTAGGGAGGCCAACAAGCCTCTGCAGCAGTGGGAGAGGGCGTCTATCCCGTATAGGGCATGCTCAGAAACGCTTGAGCACCTCTCTTCATCTTCCTCTTCCTGCAAGAGCCATTCTGGACCTGATCGCACAGCATGCAATTCTGGGTCAGGTATTTGGGACACCTATTGGTTATTGGGACTAAGAGAAGTAGCTGGGACCTTCTGGACAAGTGGAAGCAGCTGTGGGGAGGGAAGGCTCTGGGCGACGGCAGCCTTAATGGACGAAGAGAGGAAGAGAGGGGACCAGTGCCTGGAAATAATGGATGCCGTGGACCCCCTTTTCCTGCTGTGCTTCTCACAGTGCAGTGGTATGACACTATTATGCCACTGGTGGCCGGGAGACAAGTGAAATGGCTTGCACACGTTGGCAAGTCTGGGGAACAGATTGAGAGAGGTGGAGGAGAGGCAAGAAATGAAACAGGAAGCTGAGTCTCTGTCGCAGGTGAAGGGAGACCTGGCTCCTGGACCGTCAGCATCTTGTTATCATTTATGCTTTCTTCCCCAAGAACTTGTGTGTGGTCACTGAATGGGGATGGGGCACTGTGTGCTTCTTGGGCAAGGCCCTCAAGCAACGTCTCTAATTTGGGAAAGACAACTGTGGGCCTCCTAATAAAGTCTGGAGGAAACAGACTTGCAAATACTTTGGTGTCTAACCCAGACATGTCAGGCCTCTACTTTGAGTAGTTCTTATCTAGATTTGGCCTAAATCAGCGTTCATGGCCTCTAAATACGGTTTCTGGAAAATGCTGAATGGAGAGTGATAGCAGGTGGTTTTCCTTTTTCCTCAAATGATAGCTCAACTAAATGGTTTATCACTCATCAAACAAAGGCAAACAAAACCTTCAATACTCACGGCCCTCTTTAAGTTACTCAGTGCTTAGCCTGCACAGCTGTAGTGGATGACCCTGGGCATAGCCTTCCAGAGACAAGGATGGGAGATTTCTGACTCTAATAAATCCTTTTTTTTCCAAATAAATCCTTTTAGACTCTGATTTTTTGGTTGGGCATCTCACACAGAAGAGAGAAGGATGATAAAAGTACATTTATCAGTCTCAGTTAGCATTTTAAAAGAATGATCTTTACATTTAAAAGTAGACTATTATTATTTGTACACTCCAAGTCTTTCTGCATTTTGAAAGTTGATCTTTAATATACCTTCACTATGCCACTTTTTCAAGTCAGTTAGTTGCCAGCTAAAATAGTTAAGACCTGCTTAAGGACATTTTGGTGAAATGAAGTCAAGGAGGTATATAACATTATATCTGTTATTGTACTATTATATTATATTATCTATTATTATATTATTTGTTGGGTGTGGTGGTTCACACCTGTGATGTCAGCACTCAAGAGGCCGAGGTTAGGAGGACTGCCACGAGTTGGAGGCCAGCCTTGGACGCATCGTGAAATCTAGTTAGAGCAGTATTTTTCAATCATGCTTACCCTTTATAACCGTTGGGACAGTTAATTTTTTTCAAAGACTTTTAAAAAGATGCCAGTGGTGAGTTTCTCTCCAGACCAACAGCCCCAGAGCAGCTTGGGGTGGAGCCCAGGCAGGATCTGACTCAGGAGCTCCCCAGGCGGGTCTAAGCAGCATGGAGTCAGAGGCCCCAGTCAAAAGCTGACTTTGTGTGTTTGCCTTCAGTAACAAGGCAGGAAGAAGCTTTTATTACATTTAATTAATTAATGTGTGGGTGTGGAGGGGGGGTGCTTGCTGTGGCATGATTGTGGAGGCCAGAGGCCAGCTTGTGGGAGCTGCTTATTTCCTTCCACCCTGTGGGTCCTAGGGATTGAACTCAAGGGGTCAGGTTTGGTGGCAAGCCCCTTTACCTGTGGAGCCATCTCGTCAGCCCCGAGTATGATAATTTTTAAGTGGACCAGATTAAGAATCTGAACATTCATGAAGCCAATGTTTTTATTGTTATTATTGTTATATTATCATTGTAGCTATTTTGAGTTTGGGTTTAATTTATCCTAGGCTGACTTGAAATCATTCTGTAGCCCAGGATGACTTTGAACTTCTGATCCTCCTGCCTCAGTCTTGTAAGTACTGAGATTATATGAGTGCATTACCACACACAGTTTTAGATATTTATTCTGAAGCCAAAAGTGCTGGTTACTAATTTATCAAGAACTTGCCTATGAGGGGCTGGAGAGAAGGCTCAGCAGTTAAGAGCTCTGGCTGCTCTTCCAGAGGACCCAGGTTCAATTCCTAGCACCCACATGGCAGCTCACACCTGTCTGTAAGTCCAGTTCCAGGGGATCCGGCATCTTTACACAGACATATATGCAGGCCAAACATCAATGCACATAAAATAAGAATAAATTATATACTTAAAGAAGAACTTGTTTATGGACAGAATACTAAGCAAGGTGACAGGCATTACCAATTCTCTTAGGACTAAACCCAGTTTCTCTCCTTGGGAGAGGATCCCTGGGTATTCAAATATCAGAAGGATAGTGTTGCATCTTGGTACCTGTGACCCTTAGAAGGATCTGAGGTGTGAGCAGTGAGGATGGAGAGTGAGGGAGACACGGATGAGGAAAGGCTGTCCTTGCAGCAGATCGTTGATGTCTCCTCTTTTCTTTCTCCTTTTCCTTTATTTTGGGACAGTGTCTTACTCTGTAGCCCAGGTCAGCCTGGAACTCCCTTAGCCTCCTGGGATTACAGTAAGAGCCACTATGCTGAGAAGAATAAATCCTATTGCTACTTACTTTTACTAATGTTAGGGCGGCCGAGGACGTGAGGTCCCCAACCTCAGAAACTCACTGTGATGTTCAGGCTGGCTTCCTCTTGCCCCAGCCTCCTAAGAGCTAGGATTTTAGGTGTGTACCACTATGCCCAGATGAGGTCACAAGTCTTGCTTGTGACTTTTGTAGGTTGGAAGGAGCTGCTGAGAATGGAGTGACCAGGTATGGAGGGTTTGGCCACATCGTCATTAGGGCCTTAAGGAAATATTGTCCCTGGGGCAGTAAGAAAAGCCCGCACTCTGTGTCCTTGGGAGCCCTCAGGTTTTGGCCTGTAGAGAGTGGCCCCAATGAGGTGAAGGGTGGGTAGATAGCTGCCTACTGTTGGTACACACACATATTTAACATGCATGTGCCAAGTATGAAGCATGTTCACTATATATGAATGTGTACTCTACAGTGAGGCATTAATATGCAAGTATATTAATATCTAAGAATACAGAATCTTTTGTGTTTGATTTCTCTGGCCACCAGATAAATCTAGTTAGTTGGGTTTCCCCTAGGAGTCATTCCTCCATTTTTGAGTGTGTCTCAGGAATAAAACCCCTTATGAGAGCCCCTGCTTTAGTACAGAGAGGCTGGGGACAGGGACACTGGGGAAGTGGGGAGACTTAACCCAAGAGTATGGGCTTGGAGGTACCTGGTAGCATTTGGTGCTGAATAGATAAGATGTGAAGTGACCATATAGTGGCAGCTGGAGTCTGAGCATCTCGTTTGGGGGAGTAACCTTCGATCAGAGGATCCCCACTTTCCTCCCACACTCCACTCGCCAGCTCTTGGCCCACGTCAAAAGCCTCTAGGGCAGTGGTCCTCAACCTGTGTGTCATGACCCCTGGGGGGTGTTGAACAACCCTTTCACAGGGGTCACCACACAGATATTAACAATACAATCCACAACAGTAGCAAAATCGCAGTTATGAAACAGCAACAGAAATAATTTTATGGTTGGCAGTCACAACCACATGAGGGGCTATAAAAAGGCTTGCGGTTTTAGGAAGGTTGAGAACCACTGTTCTAAGGTGATGGGAGTCCATGGGAAAAAGGACACTGGTCACAGCTGCAGATTTCTCAGTTGGGTGTCAGGAAGAGGACCTAGAACCTGGAGGGCTACAGGGGCTCTTCTACCCGTCTAACCCCAGCCTTGGCCAGATGGGCACCACCATACCCAGGCTTTTACCTGTGTGCTAGGGACCCGAACTCAAGTTCTCATGATTGTATGGCAAGTTCTCTACTGACTGAGTCACCCCCTCAACCTTTAGAGTTCAAAAATATTCTGCTTTTGAGACAACTGATAGCTTAACGGGAGACTACTAACCAAGTGCATTGCTGGACTTGGCTTTTTTCTCCTAACCTTTTTCAATGAGATTCTCTAGAAAGTGAAGTTGTGATTAACTTATGCCTTTTACTCCTGTCACTGCCTGTCTCTCCTTGGTCAGCCTCTACATGAGTCCCCTTCTGGAGACTGACTGCAGGAGTCTTCAGTCTGTCTAGTACCTGTCTGCATTCTCAAAGCTACCGAGGGCTTCCCCATGCCACAGTGTTGGTCAGTGTGGCCAGTGTGCCACAGGCATGTTTCTAGGTAGGTCCCTGAACCACAGGGTTCCTGTATACAGAACCTAGAGGATGAGTAGTGTCAAGAACCCGGCTGCCTGGAGACCAGAAAGGCCTCTGAGCCCTTGAGGATGGCTTTGCATCAGTTCACCCTGGAAACCCTGCCTCCCTGTGCTTCAAGCCCCTAACATCTGGGGCGCTTTTTCTCTGACTGTGAAAACGGTCCCAATACAGTGGGAGGATCAAAGTGTCCCCCAGTGTAGAGCTCCTGGAGCTTGGTGCCTGGGAGCGAGTGGAGGTGAAGCATTGTATCAGCACAGTCCTGATTGGGGGTGGGTGGGTGGGAACACAGTCTAAAGTCAGCACGGAGCCAAAGAGACTTCACAGTCCCTCAAACCATGCAGGTTTTAGCACCCCACAAAACACATATTTGGACATAAATGGCCTAGCAGATGTACTTTGTCATCTTCCAGTTACTTGGGGACAGGGAGGCGAACAGGATTTCTAACGCTACCTACATAGGTACGCTCTCCCTGTGCCAAGTACAGATGGTGAAGCCCGAATATGAACGCTCACGTGAGCTAACCCCAATGGAAGCAAGGCTCTCATCCTCACAAGTGCATGCTGTGGGCATGGCATGAAGCTCAGGGCCGGCTTTGCTCAAATCTAAATACTATTTCGTCTTCTCTAGTACTGTTCGAGTTTCATGGATAAGCCTCAGAGAGGTTTAGAGCATTCTCTGACACAGCCCAGCTGACCTTTGAGCTTTAGAGCTACTACACCTCCTTCTGGATTAGACTTGCTCACACCCCAAACATAGATAAAGGAAGAAGACCCCCAAACATACCTGCACCAGTTGACTCTGCTTCTCCTGAGCCTTCTGCAGAAGAGGGGCTGGGGGTGTCTGTCAGGGATATGGTTGTTTCTGCTGTTTGGGTCTCCTCTCCCGAGTATGAGGAGATCGGGGATTTGATTTCTTGATGTGTCTCTGCAGGGCTCTGGGTAGGCTGGGCCCCCTCGAACTCTGGGAGTGTGGTGCTGCTGACAACATTCAGCTCTGAGGTATGGTCAGACCATTCCCCACTGACTTCAGTCCTGTCTCCAGAAGCCACGGGAGCAGCAGAAGGCATGCCTGAAGTGTCTGCGTCTACACTGGAGGTAGTGGTAGATTCTCCACTCACTTCCAGAGCAGCAGACCCTTCCCTAGTACCTTCCTGAAAGGTCCAAGAGGTGCCGCCCACCTCCATGCCTGAGGTTGTCACTTCCAGACCTGCTTCATGGAAGGCAGAGGTGATTTCATGCAGATCTGGGAACCCAGACTGTTTACTGCTGGCCTCAGGGGCAGCGGATGCTCCCATTCCAGCCTCCGGGTAAGCCGATGACTCGCTGCTGGCTTCTGGGACGGATGCTTCTACCCCAGACCCTGGGAAGTTTGTCACAGCTCCACTAAGGTCCTCAGATGCTGAGGCTTCCCCACTGGCCTCAAAGAGGCTGGGAGTATATGTCACAGAGGGCCCTTGGCCAAGTTCCTGGGAGACGGTTGGTTCTGTCACAGCCTCCATTAACTCTGAAGTGATTAAAGTGACTTCCGGAAGCCCTGAGGTTTCCCCACTGCCAGTTGTGGCAGCTGTGGATTCTCCACTTATGTCAGTGCTGCTAGAAAAGTCCCCACTAAAATATGGAGAGCTCGGTGGCTCTGTGCTGGGTTCCAGCCCAGACTGTAGTGTGCTTAGGTCCAAAGACCCGGAAAGATCCCCAGACATATCTGGGGTTCCAGATTGGGTACCACTGAGTTCCAAAATGCCCGAAGGCCCTTCTCCAGCTTCTTGAGCAGTTGGAGCCTGGGTTATAGATTCCACCAAAGTTCTGTCTACAAGAGACACAGTAGGGAAACCCGAGGCGAGTCCACTGCCATCATAAGCTCCTGAGGGTAAGCTGCTCCCAGTCTCAACTCCTGAGAATTCTCCACTGACTTCAGCTACTCCGCTTGGGAGGCCACTGAGTTCTGGAGCTGGTGATGTGAAGCCGCTGGCATCAATTGCTCCAGAAGACTGGCCACCGCCGTCCACCTTCCCAGATGTGCCAGACAGGTCCATCTCCCCCGAAGGGAGGCCACTGAGTTCCACTGATCCTAAGCCTTCTTCTTCTTTAAAAGTGGTAGGGGTCACTTCAACGAAAGTGCTGTCCACAAATGTAATGCCAGAAGAGTCCCCACTACCACTCATGCTGCCAGAAACCAGGTCAGGGGTTCTGGGGGTTGTTCCACTGGACACTGGCAACCCTGAGGGCTGCCCACTGAGATCTGGAAGCCCAGAGGTTTTTCCGCTCACAAAGGTTATGCCGGAGGACTGGCCACTGCCAAAGAGAACTCCAGACCCCTCTCCACTGACATCTAGTTGCCCAGAGGACAGTCCGCTAAGCTCAGTCACTCCAGATGTCCCGCTGGCGTCAGGAATCCCAAATGTTCCCTGACTGACATCAGAAGACCCAAACGGCTGTCCACTAACATCGAAAAATCCAGAGGTTTCTCCACTGACATCAGGCGACCCAGATGCCTGGCCACTGAGTTCAGTGCCTGAAGTGACACCGCTAATGTCCCCACTACTGTCCAACTCACCGAGGGGCAGCCCCGACACTTCTCCTGCACCACTGATACCGATGGTTCCCCTTCCTTCCTGTTCACTGGCAGTGGTGGCTGTGACCACTTCCACTAAGGTACTGTCCACTAGGGCGACAGTGGGGAACCCGGATGGAAGTCCACTAAAGTCAGGCAGGCCAGAGGAGGGGCCACTGCCCACATCCACTCCAGAATACTCACCACTAAGTCCAGAGGGAAGGCCACTTGCTTCTGGAATTTGGCCACTTCCTAGAGTTCCGGTAGGTAGCTCGCCAACGTCCGGGGCTCCAGAAGCAGAACCTGCCAAATCTTCTTTTCCAGAAGGCAATCCACCAAGGTCCTCAGCTCCAGATGCTGAGGTCTCTAGGACTTCTTTTCCAGAAGGAAGTCCACTGAGGTCATCCCCTACCCCAGAAACAGAGGTCTCCAGATCCTCTCTTCCAGCAGGAGGCCCAGTAACACCTACTCCTGAAGCAGAACTCTCCAGATCTTCCCTGGTAGAAAGACCAAGATCCTCCACTCCAGAGGCAGAAGTTTCTAGACCATCACCTCCAGAAGGAAGGCCACTCACACCCTCTACTCCAGAAGCAGAAGTTTCTGTAGCATCTCCACTGGAAGGAATCTCACTGAAATAGCCTCCAGAGGCAGAAGTTTCTAGACCCCCTGCTTCAGTAGGGAGTCCACTGAGGTCCTCTACTCCAGAGGCGGATGTTTCTAGACCTCCTGCTTCAGTAGGGAGTCCACTGAGGTCCTCTACTCCAGAGGCGGATGTTTCTAGACCTCCTGCTTCAGTAGGGAGTCCACTGACATCCTCTACTCCAGAGGTGGATGTTTCTAGACCTCCTGCCTCAGTAGGGAGTCCACTGACATCCTCTACTCCAGAGGCAGAAGTTTCTAGACCCCCTGCTTCAGTAGGGAGTCCACTGAGGTCCTCTACTCCAGAGGCGGATATTTCTAGACCTCCTGCTTCAGTAGGGAGTCCACTGACATCCTCTACTCCAGAGGCGGATGTTTCTAGACCTCCTGCTTCAGTAGGGAGTCCACTGACATCCTCTACTCCAGAGGCAGAAGTTTCTAGACCTCCTGCTTCAGTAGGGAGTCCACTGACATCCTCTACTCCAGAGGCAGAAGTTTCTAGACCTCCTGCTTCAGTAGGGAGTCCACTGAGGTCCTCTACTCCAGAGGCGGATGTTTCTAGACCTCCTGCTTCAGTAGGGAGTCCACTGACATCCTCTACTCCAGAGGCAGATGTTTCTAGACCTCCTGCTTCAGTAGGGAGTCCACTGAGGTCCTCTACTCCAGAGGCGGATGTTTCTAGACCTCCTGTTCCAGAAGGGAGTCCACTAATGTCCTCTATTCCAGAGGCAGAAGTTTCTAGACCTCCTGTTCCAGAAGGGAGTCCACTAATGTCCTCTATTCCAGAGGCAGATGTTTCTAGACCTCCTACTTCAGTAGGGAGCCCACTGACATCCTCAACTCCAGATCCTGAAGTTTCTAGACCTCCTGCTTCAGTAGGGAGCACACTTATGTCCTCTATTCCAGAGGCAGAGGTCTCTAGACCCTCTCTTTCAGTAGGAAGCTGGGTGACATCCTCTGTACCGGAAGCAGATGTTTCTAGACTTTCTCCTCCTGAGGGAAGTCCACTCAGGTCTCCCACTCCAGAAGCAGAAGTTTCTAGAATTTCCCCTCCAGTAGGAAGTACACTGATGCCCTCTATCCCAGAGGTAGATATTTCTGGACCTTCTTGTCCAGAAGGAAGTCCACTGAGGTCCTCTACTCCAGAGGCAGGTGTCTCTAGATCTCCTGTTTCAGTAGGGGTCCCACTGATATCCTCTACACCAGAGGTAGAAGCTTCTAAACCACCTCCTCCAGAAGGAAGCCCGCTGATATCTCCTGCTCCAGAAGCAGATGCTTCTGTCGTTTCCCTTCCAGAAGGCAGCCCACTAAGTTCTCCTGTTCCAGAGGTAGAGCCTTCTAGGCCCTCACCTCTAGAGGGCAGCCCGCCAAGTGTGGGAGTGGGGGACCACTCCACTCCTTCTCCATCCCCCGAGGCCAGTCCGCTTTCTACGGGCAGGCCCGAGCTCACCGTGGGGCTGAGGCCACTGGCGTCAAGGTCACCAGAGGGAAGTCCACTTTCACTGCCCCCTAATGGCTGCCCACCGGAGCCGAGATCTCCTGAAGCTTCTCCACTGCCTGTGAAGTCACCACTGAGGTCATGCGGCCCTGATGCCTCCCCAGAGCCTGGCAGCTCTGTCCCACTCGGCGATGCAAGCGATGCTGTAAATGGCTCCTCTGAGGTGGAAGGCTCCTCTGAGGTGGAAGGCTCTTCTGAGGCAGAGGGCTCTTCAGTGGCAGAGGGGGTTCCGGTGTGGTCCTCTGCTGATGGGATGGTGGGGAGCCACGTGGGAGGGATCCCTGAAGGAGAGAAGGCAGTCAAGGTAAAGTGTGGAATGCTGAACTCTGCTCCATTGCAAAGTCACACGCGGATCCGAACTCCCTCCCTCCCGCACAAAACGTCTCTCAAGAGTGCAGGCGTCCGGCAGATGACTGCTAAGAGATCTGTTTATTTATTTATTTATTTCTGGCAGAGGAGGCAGAAAGGGGAGAGAGGAGTGAAGGAAGAGGAGACAGGAGAAGGAGGGAGGAAGGAAGAAGAAAGGAAGGGATGAGAGGAGAAGAGCAGGCTGGGAAGCTCCTTCTACACCCTCAGGGCCACAGGCTGTATGAACTGTTCCTTTTGGGACTCTAAATGTCACCATCTATACTACCTACTGAACATGGGGGCCGCCACTGAAGAAAAGGAAGCTCCTCCTTCAAGAGCTTCTATATTATCTCATATCTAACTCATGGTTTTCAGAGTGTGGTCCCTGGGCTACCATCCTCAGTGTCTCCTGGGGTCTTGGCCAACAGATAAATTCCAAGCCCCTACCCCAGTGCTCTCCTGATAGAGAAGCGGGGTGTCCAAGCTTAGGGACTGTTTCCCCAAGCCCTCCCAGCAATGCTGGTGTTGCTGGAGTGGGAGAACCCATCTCTAGGTCAGGTGGTGCTGTGCATAAAGATGCCTTCATTTCCAAGCTGGGGCACCTATTATTACAGAGGATCTGGAAAGTAGAGAAGAAAACCAAAACAACCTCACAATTTAAAATATGGTCACATTTCCCCCTCTGCCTTGTTTTTGTCGCTATTTTCAAAACAATTTATATCTGGATTTGGTAGTGCAGACCTGTAATCCAGGCTACTTAGGAGCAGCAGGATCCCAAGGTCAAGACCTGCCTGGGCTATAGTGAGTTCAAGGGCGTCCACCAAACTGCCACCCTCATCTGGGCATTCCATAGCAGGCATTCGTGTGGGTTCAGTGTGCGTGGCTCCAGGCTATACTCCAGAGCCTGGCTATACCCACCTGGAAGTGGGGATGTGCCCTCTGGGGTGGACGCTGCTTCCCATCCAGTCTGCTTTTCTGATTCAGTGGTGAAGTCTGGCCCCGCTGTTGTCTCTGACTCCAATGGGACAGCGTCCACACCAGGCCCCATCTGAGTGACGATCCCGTCCTCTATGTCGGAAGGTGATGTGGGCGTGCCACCTTCTTCTCCTCCCGGAGAGGGCGCCACTGACACACCTGAAGGAGATGTGGGAGGTGAGGTCCTGCCTTTGACACAGAGAAGCAAGGGGACCCTGAGGTCCACCTGGCCAGTGCAAAGCCTTGCTGACACCCCCAACCTCTAAGCCAGCAGGACAGCTGTTTGCCACTGTATCTGTTGTATAATGCCACCATGTATCCTCTGTCCCTAGCAACTTAGGACAGAGTGGTCTGGGATGTCTCTCTCTACAGGCTATCCTATATGCTGGACCTAAATAAAACTTTTATGCTTATAAATATGTTTCACCTTAATAAAGATGAGATTCACCTAATAAGCAGGGACTTGTTATGCGACTCGGCCAAGGTCAATGGCTTAGAAGTACCAGGGCTAATCTTTCCGTTCAAGATCTAACATGATAGTGTCCGTCTTGAAGGCAGAGCTAGGGTCTGAGTATGCCAGGTCCCGAAACAGGAGGCTCATCTTTAAATTCCACACTGCTATCATGGTATTTGCAGTGGGCAGGGCGATCTCAGGATTCACTGATAAGGGGAAACTTCTGATTTGGGGGAAGCCCCCACCCTGGAAGAGCTCAGGAAGGAACCAGAACTTCTCTACGGGGCAATAAGAGGTTTAAAGCCTGGCATGGTGATTCACACCTCTGATCTCAGCATTTGGGAGGCAGAGGCAGGCAGATCTCTGTGAATTCAAGGTCAACCTGTTCTACATAGCAAGTTCTTGGCCAGCCAAGACTACATAATGAGATCCTGTCTTAAAACAGATAAATGAAAAATAAACAAATAAAAAAGACCCTTGAGTCCCCTGAAGGTCTGGGGTAGGCAGTGGAAATTACGGTTGGAAATTTACAGGGTGGGTTTGCTGGCTTGACCTCTGTTGCCCACTGCAAAGACCTAGTCTGGGACAGGGGCAACAGGAAGTTGAGGCAGGAGGATCAGAAGCTCAATGCCAACTTTGGAAATATGAGACCCTTTCTCAAAATAAAAAAAAAACTGAAGTTAAAAGATGTCCCTGGAAGTCTGGGAAACCTGGAGGCCATCGGTTTTTTCCCCTTTTAGTTGAAAACAATTCTGGAGGGCTGACGAGACTGCTCAGTGGTTGAGAATGTGTAGTCTTCTTGCAGAGGACCTGAGTTCAGATCCCAGCACACACACACACACACACACACACACACACACACACACACTCCCCCCCACAATTAAAAATGGTAAAAATACATCTTAAGGAGTTAAGATAATTTGGGACTCACAAGAGACTGCAAGAATACTCAGCTTTGGTGTGTCATGTTGGAAACAGGCAGCCTGCAGTTGCTATTCTGGTGGGTGCATCGTTACCCTATACGGATGCTGTGAGGATCCAACCAATCAGAGCCCAGCATATCTCTCTCAACTGTGTAAGCGGTAATGGTGGCCGATACTACAGTTGTAGTGCCTACCCAGTGTGTATCAGTTAAGCTTGTAGGTGGCTGGTGCTTGACAAGGAACACCAGGATTATCTGATTAAACTCATCACAAAAATATTTACAAGAAGAGAGTTCGACAGGGATGTACAAATTAAAAACAATATGTAACATCATATATAAACACATATGGAGTGTTTCACATACGCTACCCCAATTAGTACTTGTCTGCAACTTCCTTTGAAGTAGGGACCATTTGTCACTATTCATAGAGAAAGCAATAAGGAAGTCCTCCCAGACAGATGGGGTGACCACCGTACCTCGGAAACAGAAGGCATGGTGCCTGGACAATGGGTCTGGAAGGCCGGTCTGGTTGGGGTAGAGGTAGACAGTTCTCACGCCCGGTTTGTCCCCACCGCAGGCAGGCCGAGGGGTGACGATGGGGTACCGGAGGCTGCCATCTGCCAGCCAGCCAGCATAGCACTTGTCCAGGCCGTGGCTCCAGGCAGCGTAGAGCTGGCCAGTGGAGGCCAAGGTGGCATTTTGGGCTTCACAGAAGGACTGTGCTTCCTGGAAGGTGAACTGCTCCAGGCGTGTGACAAAGAACACTTCCCCTGGGGACAGAGACAATGGCAGTGCAATGGTTCACGTGTGTCATCAGCAGAGTTCAGAACTCTTGGCACCCCTACCCTGCTCACCAGGGCTGTTCGCCAGCCTATGTGGCACACAGTCCTGTAGAGCCCTGCTCCACTCAGTCACACCCAAGGCCACACCCCTTAGATCTCTTGGGATCCTGGGCAGTAGAGACAATGTCACAATTGAGCTGGGCTGAGCTAGTCAGTCTCTGGGGAGCTGGCTTCTACCCCTCCTTATTTAGGCTCTCCAGTCACACCCAGGCACCCTTCCCTTGACTAATACAGGTGGCTCTTAGCTCCCTGATCCCCCAGACCCCTCAGGAGCTCGGCGACTGCTGTGGACCTGATGCACAGTCCTCTGTCTCAGCAGCCACATATCGCCCAGGACCTGTCTGGCTTAGGGGGCTCACATCCACCCAGCATTTGTTTGTGCCAGGCACTTTTTATGTGTCTCAGTTAATACTCAGAAAAACCCTGAATGCGGGCATAAAGTAGCCATGTTTTACAGATGGGGAAACTGAGGCTCACAGAGGCCTAGTGGACATGCTGAAACTTTTCTAGAATATGGCCATTTTTCAAATTGGGCTCAGTGGAAAAGCAATTTGGTGACATGCATGGAGTCATGCGGTTGAGTAAGCTTGGGCGATGCTGAGATACAGAGAGATAAGAGGTTTGGGGCTATAGGACTTCTCCCAGCCTCTGATGTGGTCATAGGCATCGGGACTCTATAAGGCTGAGGGTGCGTCCAACATTTGTTTAATAGAAATCGGTCAATTCATCCACTGAACTCACTTCTGAAGGACCACTGTCACACTACAACGTGAGGGAGAAAGCCTATATATAAGCCTTTGGTGGAGAGGGAAACTTGAGTTGAAAGAGGTGAGGGGTGGGCCTCCTTTCCATATCGAAGGTTGTGTGGGGGCAGGCCTGGGTTGGTGGCGACAATTTTATCCCTCTTCCGTGACTGTCCCTTAGTCCCTGCTGGCCTGCAAATGGGAATGTGATAATATGGCCTGTACCCTCAAGCTTGTCCACGTAGCAGTAGACATCATAGGTTTCCGATGATGGGCGCACACCATAGGTCCTGACTCCAGGGCTGCTGTCCTTGTCGCCTACACATGGGGTCCGTGGGCTCACAATGGGGTACCTGTGAAAGAGGATGGGAAGGGGGTGAGGGTCTGTCTTGAGTGTAGGAAAGATCTTGGGTCATGTTTATGCATCATGTCTCTTGATCATCTGGTGGACTTTGGAAGAGAGTCTCCTACACAAGGGTACACTCTGTCAAGATGCAGGACATGGGAGTGCTTGAATGGGGTCTCTAGGAGCTTCTTCTGTTTGTCTCTTGGAGGGAAATGACTAAGAACTTGGCATAGCACAGTTCCTGCCACCATCTTCCAGAACATGCGTGTGTGTGATTTAGGGAAGTATGCAGTCACTGGTGACTTCATTAATCCACCAAGTGCTGGGTGACCACCGTGCTGGATGTTGAGTCAGGCTGGGGGCTCCTTGGTTGGGGCTGGGAATGGTAGGCTCGTCCTTTACCTGACAGTCTGGTCCTGCAGCCATCCGGCATCACACTGCTCATAGCCTGCCTCATAGGCAGCCTGGAGCTGCTCTGGTGAGGCCATGACTGCCCCGGTTTGCACGCAGGCCTGCTGCGCCTCTTCGAATGTCAGAGAGTATCTGGTGGAGCCTGGGCGATAGTGGAATACAACTCCTGGGTGACAAGGAGAGGGGAGAAAGAAACAGAGGTAAGACTGATGTTCGTGGGGCCCGTTCTAAGCTTGGCTCCTCCATGTAGACATAATGGATAGATCTGGGCGATTCCACCTGAAGTTCTACTTGGTGACATCATGAGTGTCATGGTAAATGGCCGTGTCCATCTGTCTATCCCACGTGGGGACACCATCAAGACCCTTTACGGAGGCTACACTAGAATGCTCTTCCCATTTGTATATTTGTATTTGAAGATCAGCTGGGCTCTGTGCTGAGTGACGTCCCTGTCCAAGTTCCTGAGGATAGAGAACACCATCCGCCTAGCCCAAGGGCTGCAATCATTTTCCAGAAGGAACCAGATAACCATATAGTCTTGCTATATAAACCAGACTGGCCTTGAGCTCACAATTCTCCTGCCTCGGCCTCCTGTGATGAAGTTACAGATATGTACCATCCTGCCTGGTCTCTAGGACAGGCCTTATGGGCCATTCGACTTCTGTTACGATTGCTCAACTCAGCCGCAACTGTCCTGAATTAGCCACAGACAAAGTCTTAAATATGGGGGTGTGGCTTCGATCTAATCATACTTTATTTGTGGGCACTGAAATTTGAAACTTACATGATTTTCAGATGTCACAAAATCTCTCCCTTTGACTCCCTCTTCCTCAATTATTTAGGGATGTGGAGGTGTTCTTAGTTCACAGGCTGCCTCAGAGTAGCTGTATTCAGCTTGTTCACTAAACTTTGCTGATTTGTTTGTTTGTTTTGTTTTTCGAGACATGGTTTCTTTCTGTGGCTTTGGAGGCTGTCCTAGAACAGGCTGGCCTCGAACTCACAGAGATCTATCTGTCTCTGCCTTCTGAGTGCTGGGATTAAAGGCCTGCACCACCACAACCTGGCTTACTTGGTTGATTTTTATCCAGGCAAGGCTGTGGGGTCACCCAGAGCAGTGGTTTTCTTTTTTTTCTTTTCTTTTGGTTTTTACGAGACAGGGTTTCTCTGTATTGTTTTGGAGGCTATCGGTCCAGCCCAGCCTCGAACTCACAGAGATCCACCTGCCTCTGCCTCCCCAGTGCTGGGATTAAAGGCCTGCGCCACCACCGCCCGGCTAAGAGCAGTGGTTTTCAAGTGGGTCTGTTTTGTCTTGTGGTGCTGTCACTGACTCATTATACAGCATGGTTTCCACAGTTGACTTCATTTGGAGTCAATTATTTGTGGTCGAAGAGTGGACATAACTGCCTCGCCTGCCCCCCAGGAGTGCACTTACCCCCTGGTAAGTGGGGCTGGCCAGGGACCTCAGCTGCACCTGGGGCGAGGGTCACTTGGACCACTAGGTCCTCACTGGTGAAGGCTGTGGCTGACTCCAGCCCAGGTGTGGCTTCCTCAGGAAAGTCCCAGGGCCTGGTGGCTTCTTCAGTGCCCTCCTCAGGGAAGGCTGTGACCCTCACACCAGAGAAAACTGTGAGGGCCTCCTCTGGCTCTGAGACAGTGGGGGACAGGTCGAACATGGGCTTTGCGGTGAGGATCTCATTGCCCCGGACTTCTCCCTCCGTGGTATTTTGGGGCAGGGGCAGCTCCAGGTCTGGCCAGGTCACTGTCTGGATGGTGATGTCGTCTTCGCCACCCACCCCGAAGAAGTTCTCTGGGATGTCTATAAAGTCTTCACCTAGGACAGGACGCAAAGACAAACTTCAGCGCTCAGCCTGGGGCCCTTTCGAGGAGACAGAAACTGAATGTGTGTGCTCCACTTTCCCCTTCTTGGCTGGAGCCAGGCACCTGGCCCTGCCCACCACAAAGGCCTGAGGTTCTGTGGCTCCTCCATACCCTTGGGGTGGCTCCAGAACCACCCACAGGTGCCGAGCTTTTTCCTGGAGTGCTAGAGCCCCTTATACAACCCAAGTACCACTGCTGGACTCCTACTTCCTCTTTTGGCTGCTTATAATTTCCCGTACAGTGTAAGCGCTATTTCAGCAGCTGGGACAGTGTATTGTTTGGGGGACAATGGCAAGAAAAATTCTGCACATGTTCAGTATGGATGCAGTTAAATTATTCATAAAAACCCGAGGTTGGCCTGATTTGTAGAAAGCACTAGGATACTCATGCTATATTGGCCAGCCAGCTCACTGCTTATCTATCAAACAAAATCATTTCCTATTTCCACCTTCCCACCAGCTGCCACTTTGCCCCTGTGTGTCCAATGGGACCAGGTGAATCAGTGATTAGGGAAATCCTGAATCTTGCCGTGGTGAGTTGTGCAACCGATGCAGGCATTGTCGGAGAGCTGCCTGCCTCAGAGTCCTGGACAAATGAGGGGCTGGCAGGCACGAGGTAGTTATTAATAAAGAGAATGCTCATGAGGGTGATACTTCCAAAGAGTATTCTCTTTATTAATAACTACCTCGTGTCTGCCAGCCCCTCATTTGCCTGCATTGGTTCATTTTTTTCCTCCAAGAATTAGGAATTATGACTTGCAGTGTATTAAATAGAAGATAAAAACGTACTTAAAAACTTTGTTCCAATTTTTCCAAATGAAGTTACAGAACTTTCCCCTACTATTACAGAAAGGCTGTTTAGGTGCATCCAGACTAAAAGGGAAGGTACCAGTGGGCTCATGCCCTCTGACAGACCCCACCTCCTCTCTATCAGAGGGGTTGGGGTCCTGACTTCTCCAGCATTGTGCAGCAAGGGGGCAGAGCTGAGAATCGAACCCAAAGGAAAAGCAACTCTTTGGAGCATATGCTGCTCTATGTGGATCCGATGCAAACAGAGCTGGATGCACTGTGACCTCCATTGCCACAACCGGGAGGGAGATGCTAAAAATGCGGGATCCCGGAACACAGAGGTACCTTCCCAGGATCTTGCTGGGACCTGATTTCGGTGGCAGACCTCCCTCCCCACCTTCAGCACCAGCCCCACCTGTATAACAGATGGCGTCGTAACGGGATGAGGGATCCGGATAGCCTGTCTGGTTGGCGTGCAGATAGACAGTCCTTACACCCAGAAGGTTGCCCCCGCAGTTGGGCCGAGCCTTGGAGATGGGGTAGCGCACACTGCGGTCCGCCAGCCAGCCGGCGCTGCACATGTCCATCCCGCCCTGCCAGGCCAGGTAGAGCTGGCCCGTGGTAGCCAGCCGCGCCCCCAGCCTCCGGCACTCATTGGCTGCCTCCTGGAAGGTGAACTTCTCCGGGGATGTGGCATAAAAGACCTCGCCTGTGAAGGACACACGACACTAGATGAGGGTTTCACTCCCATCCTACCCTGCCTGTGCCCCCCAAGAGATTCACATGTTTTCTCGGAGGTTTATTCTTTTTTCCGTGGTTCTCCGTCGGTATCTCATGACTTGTCTATCACTCCCCAGTGTCCATTCCTTTCTGAACTTTTGGGTAGGATGCCATCAATCTCCTAACAAGGACCTCCTCCTCCCTAAAACAGACAAGCTGCTGAAAGAGCAAAGCATGAAGCAACCCTGAAATCGGAAGCACCTGTGGCCCGGGTGACTGCCGTTCATCTTCCCACCACTAGGGGAGCTTTCCTCTAACACAGACACTGCTCATTCCTAGGACGCCATCCCAAATTCAAATTCTGCTTAGAAAAGCAGGCCTTACCTTTGACTTCTTAGAGTACTGGCTCCCAAACCAGGGCCAATCGTACCCAAAGAGGCCATTATGGGATAATTTTAGGTCTTCCAGCTTTTAAACAATACTCCCTAAAACCTGCCAAGGTTGTGCTTGAGGATGAGGTAGGGGTAGGAGGTAGCTGATCACTAACTGGTTCCAGATGTCCTTGTTCAGTGGCAGTTCAGACCAACTGTTGTATTTGTCTTGGGCTAGTCAAGCATGGGGACACAAAAGCTTGCTTTTTAGTAGAGGCCTCAGTGGGTAAGGAAGCTGGGCTATGTCACCACCAGTTTTTTTTTTCCTAGCTGGAGGAGCTTGGGAGATATGGGAGGCATGCTCAAAGAGTGTTGGGGATGTCCAGGGAGATAAATGGGTGCAGATGGGAGAGGGGTGCCCTCTACATGTCAGGGTAACACTATGTTCAAAATTGGTACCCTCAAAGAAGAGAGGAATGATGTAGGTTTTTCCCTCAAATAGTCCATCAAAAGGCCTGAGGTAGGATTTCATGATGGGGGCAGTGACTGGGGAACATGTTTCCTCAGAAACTGTGTGTCTGTGGTGTGTGCCCTAGAGTGGCCTAGGGTGTCCCTCTTGAGTGGGAAATGGAGGCCTGGGCCGCCACTGAGCTACACCCCAGTTCTAAGCCTGGCTTTGATGGCACCATGGACCTCAAGACAGGGCTGGTTTGGCCAGAGACGCTGAGGTTCTGGATAAGAGAGACAGTCCCAGAGGACTTTGGAATTTGGGGTTTGGTGGGAGCACAGGACCATCCCCCTTCATGGCAGGAGAGGACCGAGCGAGGGTCCTGGCCCAGAGGAGGCCTTGTATAGCTATCCCAAATGTGAGCTGGGCGATGAGGAAGGGAGCTGGTGTTTTCACTATGGGAGGGGTCGCCTCACCTTCCATCTCCTCAGCGAAGCAGTACACATCATAGGTCTCATTGGTGTCTCGGATTCCGTAGGTTCTCACTCCAGGAAACTCATCCTTGTCTCCATAGCAGCCTTCCCGAGGAGTGTGGATGGGGTACCTGTTGGGAAGCCAACATGGGAGTGTGACACTGGGATCAGAGGAAGCCCAAGGTCACTGTTTGTGTAACCTTCACCTTCATAGGAGGAGGTCAAGGCATAATACTACCTCTGTCCAAGCCTGCTCTGAATGCTGGCTTCCCTCCAGTCCCAGTGCTCCTCACTGACCAGACAGCCTCTGTCACTGTATATTCCTGGTACCAAACTCACTCCCCCCAGGGTAGACACTTTTCATGTAAAAGGTCAGCATCTTGTGGGTTTTGTAAAACTACAGGCCTCTGTGGTGACCACTTTCATAGCATGGAGCAGCTACATGTAGCCAGTGGGCACGGCTATATTTCAACACAACGTTATTTACAGAAATGAGGGACCAGTTGAGTTGGACTTGGCCATGGTGCCTACTTTGTACTGGGTGAGTCATATGCCATCAAGCGAGGCAGGAGCTGGACACACTGAGGTCTAGAAAGGTTAATTGACTTGTTCAAAGTCACATGGCTTCTAAATTCCAGTGTTTGGATTTGGGTCTAGCTCTTTCTGAGGCCAATATGTGAACTCTTGACATATTAGACTGTTGTCTCACTTTTTAAAAAAATTTACCGTTGTGATGTGTCCCAGTTAGCTTCAGCTGTCAATTTGACACATCCTAGAATTGTCTGGAGGAGTCTCAGTTGAGGAATCACCCAGATTAGCCTGTGGCCATGTCTGTGGGGGGTCATCTCAGTCTGTGATCAATGTAGCAGAGCTCAGCCTGGACAGGTGAGTCTGGGGTATATAAGCAAACTAACTGAGCATGCCTGTGGGTGACCCAAACAACGAGCCAGACAGAGAGCCAGGAGCAACATTTCTCCGTGGCTCCTGCCTCCCATTGTTTCGGTCCTCACCTCAGTGATGGACTGTGACCGGGGAGCAAGCTGAAATGAACCTTTTCCTCCCCAAGCTGCTTTCGATCAGCGTGTGGCATCTCAGCAACGGAGATGAAACCACAACAATGCTGTATGGCCTTGTGACCTACGATCCCCGGACTTGCCCAAGCTTGCAGAGCTGACTTCCCGAGGCCTTGGATGCTGGCTTTGGGGCTAGCACTATGATGCACGTGGTGGATAGTCTGTCTTTACTGAAACTGTACTGGGATCCTTGAAGCCAGCCTCTGTCTACACTGCTTTGCCATGTGGCTCCCAGGACTCACTCAGAAAAAGATGTGTCTAGATGCTTAGTTTATGTATGCCTTACCTTACAAAGAAGATATAAATAAGGCAGTATACAAAAAGAAATAAAACTCTAAAGTTAAAAGTCAGATGAACAAACCAGAAGTAAAGGAACACTGAGGGTAGGAAAAACAGGTGAAGAGAGTAGAGAAGTTCAGAACAAGGCTGCTGGCATTGCTTTCTCCTGGGATGGGACATTGGGTACATACGCTGACAAGGCTGGACCCTAATCCCTAACTTAGACTGGCCACAGGGTCATGTTCACACCAGCTAAGTACTGGCCAGGCCCCACACCTCGCCTGCCCCATTCTGCTAGGCTCTGATGGTTCTTCCTTTGGGGACTGGGGTCTCACCTGACCGTCTGGTCGGCCAGCCAGCCTGCATCGCACTGGTGGAAGCCATCCTCGTAGGCAGCCTGCAGTTGCTCAGGCGTGGCGATGATGGCGCTGTTCTGCAGGCAAGCCCGCTGTGCTCGGTCAAAGTCCAGAGTGTAGCGTGTGGAGATGGCTCTGTAGTGGAACACGATGCCTGTGGGGCCCACAGACAGGGAGCGCTGGTTAGGCGTGAGCTCCGGTTATCGATGCTCTAGAGATGTGGTGGCAAGAACCACGGGGACCCTGGGCACTCTCTAGCTCAGGCTGACATGGTTTCCTTCTGTCTTTTTTTTTATTACATTTTATTAATTCTTTGAGAATTTCATACATGTAAACAATGTGTTTCGATCATATTTACCCCCAAATCCTCTCCTTACTCCTTCCAGCTCTACCCAAAATATTCCATCCACCTCTCCCACTGAGTCTAATTTGTGTAGTCTATATACTAATGGGTGTGGGGCCATCTACTGGAGTGTGGTCAACCTGCCAGGGGCTGTACCATTAAAGAGAGCCAGCTCTCCTTCCCTTCAAAGCCATCAGCTGTCAATAGCTCCTCAGGGGCTGAAGTGAGTTCAGCATGTGGTTGCATGTGGTCCTTTTGCTCTTGCTGGAACCCCGTCTCCTCTCCACCTGCCCCACCCCACTCCACCACCCTAACAGGCTGCTCACCACCTCCTCTCAAGGCATTCCTTCTAGAACACCTGTAATAATTCTGACAATAAGAATGCTCTCTGAACTAAGGCAAAAGCTGTCTCCTTGTAATTTTTTGCCACTCCAGGACCCTTTGCTGTTTTTTTTCTTGTTAACCCCACCCCCACTCCAGGGAAGGAGACACCAAGGGTTCCTTCCAGGTCTCCAGTAGTTCAGGGCATCCCTATGAGTGCTCTTAGAGAGACGGGAGACCAGGCAGTGAGGCTTTAGTCATTTCTTTGGCCCCTGAAGCTGACACTAAGGGGTGGTAGAGGATGAGAAGATGCTTAGGAAGCCACTTTCATTCATTTCTAGGGTCAACCATGCCACTGGAATCATTTGCTCAGGTGCAAAGTGGGCACACTTACACAGTGATGGAGGACCCACCCCTCTGGGTATGTCTGTGAGGCTTTAACTGAAGAGGGAAGATACACCCTGACTGAGGGGTCTGGGGTCCCCCAGTGAATAGAAAATGAAAAAGGAGACAGGAAGTGAGCTGAGCACTTGGAGTCTTCTTTTTGCTTCCTGACTGCTGATGCAGCATGATCAGCTTCCTCCTCATCCCCCGCTGCCGTGTTTTCCCTGCCAGAGAGGACTGTTGTATCTCCTCAAACTGCGAGCCAAAGTAACTCCTTACTACCCTAAGTCGGCTCCTGCCAGGTGTTTGGCCACAGTGACAAGAAAAGCTGACATACCCAACAAGTCAAGGATTGCTGGCAAACACCAGCTGCCAATACCAGAATGTATTTATGTGTCCCACCCCCCAGAGCCCCAATCCCATGGAGCATAGCATTGCCAGCTCCACATCAGGGAATCCAAGCATAAAATGGGTACGCAGAGGGGCAGATTGGGAAAGCTAGCCACCAAGGTCCACACGGGTGAGGACGTCATTCTAATTCTTTCCACAGAGAACCTGACACCCCTGTGGGAGGCCTTTACCTTTTACTATGACCTCCAGGGTGGCTTCACTGTCCTCGATGCCATGCATCACTTCACAGCGATAGATCCCAGAGTCGTTGGAGCGAAGGTTCTGAATTTCCAAGGTGGCATCACTGGGGATGGCCGGGTAGTTGGGTAATGACACTTTGTCTTGGTAGAGGCTGTTGACTCGAACCTGTCCTTCGGTGGCCACCAACAATACTACCTCTTTCTCCTTGGAAACGCGGCTCCACTTGATTCTTGGGGCAAGGGGGGCAGTGGAGGGTGCAGTGGTCACGGGGTGCATGGGGTCGATGAAGTAGCAGGGGATGGTGAGGGAAGTCCCCAGGAGGACCTTCAGTGGGGATGGCTGAGGGATGCTCACGCTCAGTGAGTTGTCATGGTCTGTGGGGGAAGGGCAGGAGGACAAGCAAAAATGTCAGGGTAACAGAGACTACAAGTAGTCACCCACACAGTCCTGGAGGTGCACCCATCTGAGAGGCCCAAATCCAGCCCACCATGGAGGACCCTGGAGGTTCCCAGGGAGCCCCACAACACCCTCTCCAGATCAGCGAGCATGGGAGAGACGTCACAGCCAAGACCTCACACTACAGGTACCTAGGGGATGCCAAACTACAGATAAACAGGACACACACACACACTCTCTCTCAAAATCTAAAACAGGTCTTCATTTTATTCATTTATTACATTTAAAAATTTAAATTAGAAATAAGCTTGCTTCACACTCAATCCCAACTCCCTTACCCTCCCCTCCTCCCCTGTCCCCCACCAATGCCCCCACCCGCCACCCAATCCCCACTCCTCTCCCCAGGGAAGGTGAGGCCCTCCATGGGGGATCTCCAAAGTCAATAAACAGGACTCTTAGGGTAGTGACATGTTTGATTCAGAGATTTTAGAAAAAAATATATCGGAGTATTTATTTTGGATATGATGAGTTCCCCACAAAAGGTTCATGTGTGGGAAGTTTGGCAGTGTTTATTGAGAGGTTGTTGGATTATAAGGATGCCAGCTTCATCAATGGATTCATCCATTGGTCAGTTCAGAGCTGAACGGGGATGTGGGACCTTGCTGGAGGGCTTTAGATCACTGGAGGTGTGAATTTGAAAGGCATATCTTGTTCACTGCCCCAAAACAAGTTGTGCCCTGTCCTCAGAACCCAGTACTCGCCCGTTACTGAATCAAGGAGCCTTGCATGGGATTGTCCTCACCTGGAACTTCTTCTGAGATCTCTGCAGCAATGACCCTCAGAATCACAAAGACCAGTAGTAAAGTGGTCATGGTTCACCTGGAAGAAGCAGCAGGGGTGTTATTTGGACAGTTAAGCACAGTGGTGGAGGAATCCACCACCAAGGCTCTGAAGTCACATTGCACAAGAGGCTGCAGTGGTTTGTGCAGTGTTCTCTCCAAGAATCCTTTCCCTTAGAAACCTCCAAGCCCTTCTAAGCTTAACTCAAAGGTGGCTGGATGGTGCATTGGTCCTCCCATCTTCTAGCCAGTGGAGACTCGTCCTAATGAGTTCCCGTGGTAGCTAGTGAGCCATAGATGGCTCAGGTTGGACCCCGTTCCCATGTGTCTGCTAGGGCTCTTGTATCAGATGAAGACTGGAATCTGTAGACTGAGATGGCCCTCCCTCTACAGTGTGGGTGGTCACAGCCAATCTCCTGAAGGCTTGAACAAAAAAGGACCCTCTCCTGAGGAAGAGAGACATCTTCCCTGATGGACCGCCAGCTGTTTTTCTTCTCTTTGGACTTTCCCTGAAGCATGAGCTGGGAATTGAACATGTGGAGCTTCAAACTGAAGATGCTCAACCAGCTCCCCTGGGCCTCCTTGCTAGTCTCTCTGCAGCTCTGGGAACCCACAGCCTCAACTTATATTGTCCTTATTTTCTCTCCCTCCCTCTCCCCCCTCTCTCCTTCCCTTCCTCCCTCCCTCCCTCCCAGATACATAGTCATGCAAGGGGATGTCCTCTGTTGAAAATGAAATGATACATAATGACAATTTGGTCAATGGTGGAGCACATATATAACAATAAGTTTACAGTGGGGGTGAAAACACCATATTGCCTAGTGACAATGTAATGTCCCAGTGCAACACATTTCTCACTGGTTTGTAATGATGCCCATGCAAACAAATTGAGTGCATGCCAATCGTATGAAAATATGGGGAATTTAATTATGTATATGGTACATAATACTTTGTAATGACAATACATGGCTGTCACAATGTATTTCCTGTACTATACTTTGTGTTGTTATTTTGACATGCATTACAACTTATAAGAAACATATATTTAAAACAGTCCACCATGGACTCACTAGGCAGACTCAGACACTTATGATTTACCGTGTATTTTAATTGCATCAAGAAGCCATGTAAAGGACTAGGGTGTGGTTCATTGCTCAAGTGTTTTCCTAGCATGCTTGATATCTAGTGACACACACATGCACCCGTGTACTCATGCATACACAGCAACAGCCATGACGAGTGACTGAACTCTGTCACCTAGATATACATGTTCAAGTACACTAGTGACACAGGAGAGGGAGGAGAGAGAGAATGGAGGGAGGAGGGAGGAATGAAGGTGGGTGGAGGAAGAGATGGGGAGGGGGAGGGAAGGGGAGGGAGAGAAAAGGGAGGGAAGGAAGGAAGCGTGTATCTGAGAGAGAGAGAGAGAGAGAGAGAGAAGAGAGAGAGAAGAGAGAAGAGAGAGTTAAGAGTTATCCCTTTAGAGAACCCTAATACAGCCCTTCAGATGCAGAGACATGACAAACTAACAAGCTTCCCTGATGGAATCTGGGTATGCCACCCACTCCAAATTCAGGAACCTTGGGTATTTTAGCAAGGATCCTGTGGTTTTAGGCAAGAGTCAAGACCCTGACTTGAGTCAGGAAGACAGCCCATAAGCAGTAGTGAGATGAGCAACTAATACCAGGAAGCAAGAACCTGGGGCTCCTGTAGCCCTCTTCTGGACCAAATGCATCTTCATGTGAATTGGAAAGTGACGTTTCCTGATTGTCACCAGCTGGTCAGCTGTCATTCATGTACACAGATGGGTTGCAACCACCACGTAAGGGTCTCCCCTGCACCGTAGGGACCCCCAACTCCAGTCAGCAAGCGTAAGGGACCTTCCCCAGCCACCAGCTGGAGCACTGGTCTTCAGCCAGCTGCATGTAGAAATGGCCTGGGAGTCATGGTACCACTGCCCTGGAGGGTACACAACCAGCCACACACACCTTCTGAGGTTTGCACTGCGTAAACCCATGAGCCATGTTCAGCGGCATCAGCATTTGCTTTTCGTCTAAGAAGAAGAGAGGAAGACTTGGGGGCGGGGCAGATGGGGCCAGCAGCCATACAGAGCATCCTCAGTGGAGGCAGGACCCTGGGCGCCACACCTCAACCTCAGCCCTGCCAGAGCCTCACAGTCCAGCAGGTGTCGCTCTCTGCTTAGTCACCGTAGACTTGGCTAGACCAGCACAGGGATCAAGGGAGCCAGCACCCTTAGGAGAAGCGAGGCTGTAGGGAGGGAGAGGCTGGCATTTTCCATTCAGGACTGCCTGGGGAGGGGCAGTCGGGCCCTGGATAAGGTAACACTTTCCTGTCACGGAGCTTGGCATCTTTCAACCATCCATCCTCTACCCAAGCCATACACATCTATCACCTGAGAAATGAAAGGCCCTTCTGTGTGGCTGAGGGCTTAGAGGCAAGTCACGTCACCCCTGTGCTGTAGGAAGCCTGAAAAGTTCCATCATTCTGAGAAATCCTTAGGGATTTTCTGACTTAGATATTAACCTTAAAAAACATCTCATACCCCAGGTTCGGTACCTTGAGGGGACACTGAGTTGGAGAGGGGCTCTTGTTCAAGGTCAGCTGACCAGTCAGCGCTAAGAAACGGTTTCCTGGAGAGGGCCAAGAAGATTGGTCCGAGGTGTCTGTAGAGGGACCTCAGACCCAGACACAAAGCTAGCCTGTTCCTCCCTCAGAGCACCCTTCACTTGGAAGTTTCGTGTACGTTCAGAGTTGTGTTTCTTCCCTCGCTCCCCGAACAAGCTGAACATTGTCTGGGACGCAGTGCCGCTCTGCGGGGCTTGGGCTGCTCTGTTTTTCTCCCTGGCTTAGACCAGGAAATGTGAAGGAATGAGACAGGGAGGGGGAGAGGGGGCGTAGAGTGGGCAGCAAAACTAAATTTATTTCTTCTTGAAAAACTTTGGGATAGAAATATCGCAATAAATATGCTCTTTTGTTTGTGCGTGTTTTCTCAGTTGTAACGAAAATAGGGAGAAATTCCATTCTGTCTGGGTTCCAAGCCTCTCTGGGACTCACTGAGTCTTTATGTGAGGAGACTGACTTGGCCAGCCCACGCTCTCGCTCGTGGACAGAGAAACCTTTCTCAACGCGACGAAGAGTGAAGCGGTGGGAAGGGATGGCACATGTAGGGAGGGCCTTGAGGCTGGGAGGCGGAGGAGACCTGAGATGGCCAGCGGTGGGGCTCAGAGGCAGAAAGCCCCAGGGGCCCTGGGTGCCGACGATTGGCCTTGTCGGAGACAATTGTTAGGAGGCTTGGCAAGGAAAAGCAGCAGGCCCCAGGTTTTCAGCTGTGTGTGTGTGTGTGTGTGTGTGTGTGTGTGTGTCCCTGCCTTGGTCTCTCCTTCTGTGTGTGTGTGTGTGTGCATGCATGTGTCTGCCTATCTCTGTGTGTGTGTATCTGTCTCTGTCTCTCTGTATGTGTTTGTTTGTCTCTCTCAATGTCTTGGTCTCTCTCTGTGTATCTGTCTGTCTCTTTCTGTGTGTCTGCCTCTATGTGTATGTGTGTACATGTGTCTGTCTCTTTCTGTATGTATCTGACTCTGTGTGTGTGTGTGTGTGTCTGTGTGTCTTGGTCTCTCTCTCTTTCTGTGTGAGTGTATGTGTGTGCATGTGTATACATGTGTCTGTCTCTTTCTGTATTTATCTGACTCTGTGTGTGTATGTGTGTGTCTGTCTGTCTTGGTCTCTCTCTCTTTCTGTGTGAGTGTATGTGTGTGCATGTGTATACATGTGTCTGTCTCTTTCTGTATTTATCTGACTCTGTGTGTGTATGTGTGTGTCTGTCTGTCTTGGTCTCTCTCTCTTTCTGTGTGAGTGTATGTGTGTGCATGTGTGTCTTTGTGTGTATCTGTCTGTTTCTCTGTGTGTGATTGTGTATCTGTCTCTCTTTGTGTGTATCTGTCTGTCTCTGTGTGTCTGTCCCATGGGCCCCCCACCCCGTGTGTGTGTGTGTGTGTGTGTGTGTGTGTGTGTGTGTGTGTGTGTACATGTGCCTGTGCTCCATAGTTGGAGGCAGGGACTCCATCAGATCATGGACTTGAAGGGGAAACTCATTCTCTCATTCTGAATTCCTTTTCCAACAGCTCAGTTAAGACAGACTCGGGCTCAGGCCCTGTCAGGCCACTTACTGCCTATTAGCATGATACCCGCCCACCCTGTTTCACAGATGGAGCGAGATGTCTTGCCAGCCAGTTCTCCTTGTCTGGGATGGGCACCGTGCCTTTGGCACTGTACACACACAGCCTTTAGTATCAGCAGGCACCCACCAGTGCCACTTTCTCCTACCACCCCCTTGTTAGCCTGTGTGAGCCACTTAGAACCCGTGGGTTTGGGAGTGATGGAACGGCTGTGGGAGGGAGGCATCCTACCTGAGATAAGCATTGGACCGGGTGACTTCCATAAAGAACAAAACTGTTTTCATTTTAACAGCAACATCACCACCCTTCCAAACACCAGGGAAACGGGAAACAGGGCCGGGGGATGGGGGGGTCAGGATCTTCCTGCATCCCAATCCCACCAATGTTTAATTTTTGTAATTGCCATCTTTTTGCAACCTATTTTCTGTTTTCACAGAACTCAGCTGATAAAACGACAGTTTTGTTCCTTCAGAAAAGATGACAATGGGGTTCATAGTATGACCTTTCCAGGAGGCTCGCCCAGGTAGCTCAGGCAGGACTTTCTCCTCTTCCTGAACGGAGAATCAGTGGGAGGTTCCAGTCTCACTTCCAATCCTTGTGATCTTTCCATGGCTCCCACAATCCCCTCCACATAAGACACAGGACACAACCCCGGGATCTGCTGTGCTCCCTACCTACAGGTAACCTGCGTAGACATCCTTAGCCTTTCCCTCGTTAGCTCCCAGAACTCTTAGAGCCACAGTAGAACAGAGCTGGGATTGATCACTGTGAACTTCAAACCCAATGCATTAATTTTGCAGCTGAAGAAACCAAGGCTCAAAGGGGTTCTGTATTTTACTGAGGA